TGCATACAAGCAAAAATGACTAAGAAACCTTTCCAAAGAATGAAAGAACAACTACAACACTTGAACTTGTGCATTCTGATATATGTGAATTAAATGGTCATTTAACTAGAGGAGGAAATAGATATTTTATTATTTTCATTGATGATCATTCTAGATTTACTCATATTTATTTAATGAGAACTAAAGATCAAGCATTTGATATGTTTAAATGTTATAAAACCTTGGCTGAAAATCAATTGAAAAAAAAAATTAAAATCCTACGAAGTAATCGAGATGGTGAATATTTTTCAATTGAATTTACTGTTTTTTGTGAAGAAAATGGTTTGATTCATCAAATGAGTGCACTTTACACTCCACAACAAAATGGTTTGATTGAAAGAAAAAATAGAACATTGGTAGATATGATTAATTCTATGCTTATGCATGCTAAACTACCAACAAATCTATGGGAAGAAACTCTATTAACATCTTGTCATGTACACAATAGAATACCCTCAAAGAAAACAAAAATCTCCCCATATGAAATATGGAAAGGAAGAAGGTCAAACTTAATCTATTTGAGAGTATGGGGTTGTATAGCTTATTATAGAGTTCCAAATCCTAAAAGAACCAAATTAGGACCTAGAGCTCTTAAGAGTGTTTTTGTGGGTTATGCTAAAAATTCAAAAACATATAGATTGTTAGATATAGACTCGAATGTTATCATAGAGTCTAGAGACGTTGAATTTTGAAAAACAAGTTTTCTTGAAAATTCAAATGTCAATTAACAATCAAATAGAGAAAATGTTGAACCTCTAATTACACAAGACATTAATATGGATCGAAGTTCTTCTTTAAATAATAAATGGAAATGAGTTGAACCTCCTAGTGAACCTAGGAGAAGTCAAAGGGTAAGAAAAGAAAAAAACTTAGATTCTGATTTTATTTCTTCACAAGCAATAGTCTTCTTGGTTAAAGGAAGTAGAGATGAGATTTTAAATAAGATACTCATTGTTATGCATTTGGAAGAAGAACCTAAAACTTAAAGTGATGCAATGCCATCAAGAGATTCCAATTTTTGAAAGGAAGCAATAAATGATGAAATGAATTCACTTCTATCAAATGGAACACGAGTATTGGTTGACTTACCACCTAGTTAAAGGGACAAAAGGTTTTAGACAAAAAGGAGTTGATTATTTTGACACATGTGCTCCGGTAGCAAGAATTACTTCAATAAGAGTGTTGTTTGCTTTATCATCAATATATGATTTATACATCCATCAAATGGATGTAAAAACAACATTCTTAAATTGTGAGCTTGTTGAGGAAGTATTTATGGAATAACCTGAAGGATTTGTACTTACTAGTAATGAAAAGAAGGTTTGCAAATTGGTAAATCCTTGTATGGATTAAAACAAGTTCCTAAACAGTGGCATGAGAAATTTGACAGTGTCATATTATCACATGGTTTTAATCATAATGGAGCAGATAGATGTGTTTACTCCAAGTTTACTAAAGACTATGGTGTAATAGTTTGTCTCTATGTTGATGACATATTAATCATAGGAACCAATTTGCAACGAGTAAATGATATTAAGAGATACTTAACTTCTCAATTTAAAACGAAAGATTTAGAAGTAGTCGATTCTATCTTAGGGATTAAAGTTAAGAAACATAGTGGGGGTTTTGCTATGTGCCAATCTCATTACATTGATAAGATTCTCTCCAAGTTTAACCACTTGGGAATTAAAGAAGCTAATACCCCATTTGATGTCTCCAACAAGTTGGTAGAAAATTCGGGTAGGTCTATTAGTTAGTTAGACTATGCAAGTGTAATTGGTAGTTTAATGTATGCTATGCATTGCACTAGACCTGATATTGTCTTTTTTGTATGCAAACTTTCAAGATATACAAGTAATCCTAGTACCAAACATTGGAGGGCAATTGGAAGAGTTCTCGGTTATCTTAAAAGGACAAAGTCATTTGCCTTGTTTTATAAGAAATTTCCTTCGGTACTAGAAGACTATACTGATACTAGTTGGATAACTAGTATCAATGATAACAAATCAACGTCTGGTTGGATTTTCATTTTAGGTGGAGGAGCTATATCATGGGCTTCTAAGAAACAGATGTGTATTACTCAGTCCACAATGGAATCTGAATTTATTGCGTTAGCAGCGGTAGGTAAAGAGGCGAAATGGCTGAGAAATTTATTGTTAGATAGTCAAACAATTATGTCTAGGACTTTAAGCAAGATTTATAATGGTAAATCTAGACATATTGCTTTAAGACATAAATATATTAGACAACTACTTTCTGATGGTATAAACATAGTTGTGTATGTTAGGTCTGGTAAAAACCTGACTGATCCATTAATTAAAGGACTCTCGAGAGATACCACCTTTTTTTGTTGCTTTGCAATTTTTAAAAGTTTAAGTGGTAATAACGAGTTACCAGTGATTGTTAGGAAGCACACAAGGATTTATATATAGTGCTTATGGAAAAGGAGATTGAATATTAATTATTTTTAATGAAGAATTTGTGTTCAGTTTTATGAACAAGAAAGTTCAAAATTTTGAAACTTTAACTACTCTTCACCTATGTGAATACAAAAAGTGGTGCCGCTTCTATCAAGAGTTTGAAAATAAAACTGTTGTAAGTGTTCATGAAACTAGAAGGTAGCACAAGACCATAATATGGTACTAAAGCTCACAGAGAACACATTTAGAGAAACTTGAAAGTTTATACGTATGACATTTCTGATCTTTGTTGTATAAAATCAAGGTTTAATAAATTTAAATAACCATTGAATTTGACAAGGTTTTGAAATGTTTATACTAATAATAGGTTTAAGTTGAAAAACACCTTCTATATGTATAAACTTTAGTTAATTTTGATTACTTACATTACTATCTAAGTAGGGGATTGTTAGAAATAGTTAGTAATAGATATCATTTATTGGAAAATTGAAAGGGAGTGTAAGAGTTTAAAAGGAGAAACACACCAAATTTTATAAATTTGGATGGTGGGAAGATTTGGAGCGAAGCTCCAAATATTTCAAATCAATGTGCCTTGATTAAATAAAATAATATTTAAAGTTAAAAGATGAGCACTTGAGCACTTGGGGCATTTTGGGCTTGAAGCCTATAAATAATTAATAATTTGTATTAATTAAGGAATTAATTAACTGATACATGTCTCTTGACCCAAGAGTTGTGTATCTTCTTTACATTTCTAAGGTATTATAAATACATGTACAAATGTTTCAATAAAAATAAATACAAAAACATGTCTCTATTTTGTTATTTGAAGAATTTTAGAGATTGTTATCTTAAATTCTGTTTAGCTTTGTTAGTCCTAGAGAAATTTGCCACAAACCCAACAACAACATAGTGGAGGCATAATTTCCTTAAAAAGAGTGAATACACGATCAAAACCTACTAATCTATTGAAGTTATTTTGTTAACAACCACCTCCACACACATAATTTTTAAAAAAAATTAGAAAAAATGTCTACCTTTATAGACAAAATTAAATATGAAAATCCACTGACAAGAAAAATTAACCTCAACTTGTAAATGTTGTCATCTCTCACAAAAAATTACCCCAAACTAAATATAAAATTTACTAATTCCACCGTAAACATAGTCAACAAAATTGATCCAAAAAAATTTATCAAAATTTTACCAAAATTTTTTTTGTCAAAAACTACTAACACGTTTACCTACAAATTGGTCAAAAAAAGTTATACAAAGATCTTTGCCAAAAATTTACACTTAAAAAAAAACAAATTTACTTAAAAATTTATCAAACCTGTGCACATCAATTGAATCAACTATGACCTAATTCACAAATAGTCAAATTCAAAATCAAAACCCACCTCACAGTTGAACCCATCCATGAGCTAAAACACAAGTTCGTCTCTAAAGAAGAATAACGATCCTCACATCTAACAACGACTTCAAATTAGACTTTGATTTATTTGTTTGAGTTGGAGTGTTGTGCATGTGTGTATATGATGTGTGTGCTCAAGCAAAAGAGAACAAGGAGAATTAGAGATGGGGATGAGATGATTAAGGAGGCAGTGATGATTGACAGTGGTAGAGAACGAATCCAACAGAAAGACGATAGATGGGAAAAACGATTATGTGAGAGAAATGAAAACGTACTTATACATAAAGGAGGGTAATAGCATATCCAAGAGGGCTATCTAAAATAGTTATTCAAAATATATTTAAATATTGTATTATCTATTTTAACTAATCACTTTTTCAAACTCACTCCAACAACGCTATCTATTTTAACTAACCACTTCAACTAACTTTAACTAACTTTCAATAATAAAATCTAAAATACTATTTAGTATGTCATGTCATCACCATATTGATGACATCACATGCTGACGTATTACGCCACGTCAACAAAATTTTAAAATTTTAATTTTTATAATAACAGTCATATTTACGACGGTCACGAAATTCAAAATTTTAAAATTTGAGTTTTTCTATTTGAAATGTTTTTTTACTTGAATAGGAGGAGGAGGCGAGGATGGAGAGATTGACGCTAGCTAGCGATTTACTGGCTAGCTACATCTATGGAGTGAAAAATGGGTTATCTATTTTAGATAGCCTTTAAGTTAGTCTTTTGGAATCATATTTTAAGGGAAACCTATGTAAAATAACTAAAGAGGAGGGTTTAGATAGCCTCTTGGAGATGCTCTAACAATGTCATTTTGTGGCATTTGTTACTGTAATGTGGAATCTACCTCCCTGACAAGGTGTTAGTATAATATACAAAACAAAAAGGGGTCATTAAAATGTCAAAAATTAGTAGGGGTGTCAGTGTAATTTACCCTAAACTATTGGTCCGGTGGAAGGCCGCCAGCCCGTTTAAATGAAACCAAAAACCCTAAACCCAGGGCTCACTCTCACTTGTCTTACTTACAACTAATAGTCTTTCTACCACTCTCCTCCTCCCCCTTCTCTCCCCTGGGTTTTTTCTCACGGCCACAAGACACGTCAATGGCGGCTTTCGACCATGTTCACAACATGTACGACGTATCTCTGAAGCCTCGATTGCTCCGTTCCTTGCTCAAAGACCACGTTCCAGATGAAAAACACCCGTTTCGAAACCCTTGGGAGCTCTCACACGTCGTCTCTGCAGTCAAGACTCATCGACTATTGTCCGAGTTTGCCACAGACTCGACCGATCAAAAGCAAATCGAAAACTGGAAATCAGCTGTTGATGCATGGGTCAATCGATTGCTCACTCTCGTTTCTAGCAACATGGTGAAAATTTTCGTTAATTTCTATACCCACATTGTATTTTCTTGACGTGTGTCTTTGTGTGTTGCTTTGTTGATTACCTGCTGAAATTTTCGATTCATTAAGTGCACGTCGTGTATTTGAGTTTGTTGTTGGTGCTGCATGCTCGTGCGTGTGGGTTTCTGTTGAGCTAAAAAATTGTCTGAGATATGAATTGACTGTGTATTTGCTGGATCGTATGCTGAATTTTTGATCCATATGTTTTCATACAAGTAGTTCTCTATTCGTGTGTTTGTGATTAAGTATTTAATTGAAAGGAAAAATTGTTTTGAGTAATAAATTGAGAGTTTATTTAGTTGATTGTGTGAATGTCTTGTAGCCAGATAAGTGTTGGGCTGGACTATGTTTGCTAGGAATGACATGTCAAGAATGCAGTTCTGAGCGCTTCTTGGCGTCGTATTCAGTTTGGTTTAACAAGCTCTTGTCACATATTCAGGTATTCAAGCTTATTTTGGTTCACTTATTTTGCATTGACATTTTTACATTATAACCTATATTTTTATGGTCATTGAAGCATGCCCTTAAAGAACAGTAGTTCATGATATATCTTAACATTTTCAGCATATGGAAATGTTATGTGGGATTGGTGGTAATTTGTTATGTACTTGAATGCTTGTTGTTCTCATGGCTACATATCATGCCTGAGTTTTTTTTGTTGGCCTTAAAGTTTTTAAATGATTAAAATTCAACTATATTGATCACTTTATTGAGTTCTTAGTCATGTTGAACAGAAGACACAAAAACATAGCATTATTGATATCTGTAATGAGGTACTAATAAGAATTGCGCTTAATTACAACTGACGTCCCCTGAGGTATGTGACTAACTCAGGAACCTCCTATATGGACTCTCTTACATACCTCTTGGTTAATAAAAATCTAAAGTATGAAGGAGGTTATAAAAATTAATGCCCTAGTGACTCACATATTGAATCATGTGTACCAAGATATGGTGTGTTTCTGTGCTGGATTTTAAAGCTGGGTGTCAATACCTTTTTTCCTCTTTCAAAAAGAGGAAACTCCCTTTATTTTTTTCAATTTCACTCTCGACGCATAAAAAAATAATTACTTCGTATTGAACAGAACGATCATTGATTGAGGAGATGGGGTGATGTTATGGCAATTGCTTACCAATTTCTTAAATTGTTGTTTGCATTTAATCTTTGTATAAACTATAGTTGGGAATATGTGCATAATGGAATGGATATTTTCTGGTCTTTCATTCCGCTGGATGAAGTTTTGAAAACAGAAGTCCTCTTTCTTTTGGAGCTGCCTCATCAATTCTGATTTAAACACAGTGAGTCTATGCTTGCTGCTTTACACTATATTATTTGCATCTGTTCCACACACACACTCTCCATTTGACACTTATATGGACTCATGTCAGTTTGATGAAGTAATTTATATTTTAAGTTTCCAAAAATCACACACTCCATTTGACACTTGTATAGACTCATGTCAATTTGATGAAGTAATTTATATATTAAGTTCCAAAAGTCTTAGAACAAGACAGCTGCTTCTTCTGAGAGAGTTTTTGAAGTGGAACAAATGAAATAATTTAATTCAGTTCTACTATTTTTTTTCTGAAAAGTTTCTTGCATTTGAAGATTGTGACTATTGTTATTGCATAAGTTTAGATCTTGTCAATTTCTAAAACTTAGGTTGAGTTTTTTGGCAGAAATTGTCCTTATAGCCTTTTAAAATTCATGATTAGTATATTGGCTGCTTATTTCAAGAAAATAACACAGTTTGAGATTTTTCACATTTTGAGCAGCTTCCTGCAGATACACATTTTGTGAAGTTGGCTTCTTGTGCTTCAATATCGGATCTGTTCACAAGGTTTGGTTTCTTTGTTCTAGCCATAGATATTTGCCATTGAGTAGTCCTTTTTGATATTCATGCATGTGGAACCAAAGTTACCTGGATCACGGGTACAGGGAATGTTAGTTTTTATGGTATGCGGTGTGATGGGGGTGGGCTTAGTTGGTATGTTAATTTTGGTCGCCATTCACATTAAAATCTTATCTGGATCTTTCTTACTATTTCAAAAAAAGTATATGTTGCCTCTCCACACGCATGGTGAGTTCTGGGAGACTCAATGAGTAGAATTGAATGAGTTTCCTACTTTTCAAAGTCCAAAATGAATAGGAATATGAAGAGGAATAGGAAAATATAATTCATATGGAAAAAGTAATAGGAAACGTAAAAAGCCAAAAGAAAGCAAGAATAATGCGTCCGAGACTTGTTCAAGCTTATTGCCTTAGGGGCTTCTGGAACTAGAAGGCCAGAATGGTCATATTGCATCCTCTTGGGTTCTAAACCAAAGAAAAGAAAGCAGAGGCTGCTTTCAACTACAAGCAAAATAATTTTCCGTAAATCTGAATCCAAAGCATCTTTCTTTGATTTCATCTGGCCATGGACTCAAAGCATTGTGGAGCTTTCACAAATTGATAAAGAGGAGAGATCGAGCTGGAAAAAGTTTTAGATCTCAAAATAACTCAAGAATGGGTGGCAATGGCAGAAAATTTCGGTGTTCTTCCACTGCGTACAAGCTGGAAGAACTTAGCATTTCGTTTGGTTTCGGAGATTCCCACAATCCAAGTCTTGAAGGCACCCTGTCTAGGGTTGTACGACACTGATCATGGGTCGTAGGTGACATACACGATCCTGGTAACCTGTGCTGAACAGAAACTAAACTTTGTGTGGGTGGGACAAAGAAATAGGTGGCAACAGGGGAATCCATGTTTAAATTGTGTGTAATCATCAGGAGGATGGCTTCTTTGGTCTTACTGTGTATGTTTTTACTGAAGTTACTGGTCATTAAGAGCTCTTTTACTGGGCAACTGATTGCTGTCTTTCATTCCCATGGTGTTAATTTTTGCCCTTATATCACTAGTGCGGGGCTTCTAAAATCATATGCAGACACACACACACCTATAAACGTAAGTCTATACACCTCTGTATATGTACATATTGTGTGTATATATATATATATATATATGTATGTATGTATGTATATACTCACACACATCTATATATAAATTGAACCTACCCTCATTTGTTGTTTTTTTCCTTCGGGTGGGTACATGCATGATTGATGAAGCTTACACATCCTCTTATAGGTATTTGCACACCCAAATCATAAAAGGAATAAATGAAACTAAGGGAGAAAAAAAAAAGTACACTCAAATTTGATTAATATCAATTGCAATGTTCATAATTGTGTTAGCCATTTTTCTTTTTTGAATTAGGTTGGGTGGATTTCCAAATGCAAAGAAAGATGGGACTTTGCAAGCCACAAAACTTATTCAACCACTTTTGAAGCTATTAAATGAGGATAACTCTGATGCCGTATGGGTTAGTATTAATATGTTGGAGATCTTTTTCTTGCTTTGGTTGCTCTAGTGTTGTGTGGGTTCTAAATAATATGTTGGAGATTTGTTTCTTGGAGGTGGTTATTAGACTATTCATATTCATTGATTACAATATTCCTTATCAGTAGGTTTTTGCATGTTTCTTTTTTGTCATAAAGTTATTGCACAGCATAATACTGTGATGATTAGTTAAAAAGGCTAGTCTAGTGTGAAAAAAGGTCATAGCTTTTTTTTATGTTTGAAATTGGTAATAAAGTATACCTTCAGTCGATTGTAAACCTTTAGAATTTAAACTGTGTCCATAAATGGAAAGATCCAAACCGTGGCAATAGGCATGAAGTTAGGTTGAGATTACCTCTAAGAGTACATATTGGTTTTACTTTGCATGTAGGATATCACTCTCTATAGTACCAAAGTGTGAAGTTTAAATCATTTTCCTTGGTCTTCCTCTCTCTCCCTCACTATCTAAGAAGCACGGACCGGGGCACAAATACAAAACGACACGGACACATAGACACGACATTTCTCAAAAAAAGGACATGGACACATTAGGGATACACTGCAAAAAATTATATTTTATATATAAATTATATAATTTATCGTAAATATAGTAATAATGATATGCAATTCATAAAATATTCAGTATTTTATGACAAGTAAATTTTATGTATAGTCATCTGGGTGAATTTTTAGACTAAAACATTATCATAATAGTCAATAATCATCAATTTTTTTTTCGTAGACAATGTGCACCTAATATGTAATTTAAATAATTGGTCTGATTTTCTCGATTCCTCTTTTTTTTTAAACTTTTATGTATCTTTTGTTTTTATTATTATATTTGGAATACAATGTTAACATGTCTAGTGTTAGTAATTATATGTTCTCAAAATTTTAAATTTTGTTAATTACATTTTGACACATGTTTATTGTTTAATAGTAGACACGTTCTAAACAAGTGTCGGACACGTCACCAAAAAAGTGTTGAACACGTGTCCGAAATTAAAATTTTATCATTTAATTATGGACATGGATAAAAGAGTATCAGACACGCGTTCGAGAGTGTCCGAAGAGTATTGGTGCTCGACACGGATACATCACCTTTTCGAGAGTGTCCATGCTTCATAACTCACTATATATACACACACACATCCATCCATACATTCACCTTAGACCTCAAACACAAGCATGTGAACACAAACATGTTTGAGCATGCATGCATTTGCGCATGCACTTTCATGGTTATTGTTGAACTTGGTAGAGGTAAGAACTATGTATCACTTTGTGGTCTGTATCTTCCTCTGTTCCATGTGAATAGATTTCAACAAAAACTTTCGCTCAGTTGGCCCAATCACTTTGTGCAGATAGCCAGAGGTTAAGTCTGTGCCTAATCTACCCCTCCTAGATCTCCATTAGTGGGGACTAAAATGGGTGCTATTTATTTCACATGTGACATCTTTTGCGACCTGGTTTTGTATCTGCAATTCATTTATGATTCTAGTTGAGGTGATACTTGTGCAGGAAGGAGCTGTCTGCTTATTGTGTACCATTACAACTATCTTTCCATCTTCTATTCATCGTCATTATGATAGTGTAAGTTATCCGATGCTCCATTTTCTAATTGAAAAGAAAAAAGGACCATCTGTGATAGATGAGCAACACCCATATGGGAAGCTATTGATTATGTTCTGTCCTGTACGTTTGCATGCCATAACGTATTAGATTAGCTGTCTAGTTTCTGAGGAAAGAATTTAGAATAACTCTTTCCTTCATGCATATTATGGAGTAACGGCATAAATGATGCCAATTGCTGTGCCGCATTTGTGGTATCACCCAGGAATACCTCACAAGGTTGGGTTTGGAGCCCAAAAAATATGCTTTATGCTGAATTACAATAATTGTATGAAGTCTTTGTGGACACTACTGCAGTTGGTTGGCTACCATTTTAGATTATAAGCTGAGTTCAGAACTATTTTGGCAGGCTGAAGCTGCTATTGTCTTAAAGATCATGTCAGGGAAATGCAATGCTAGTATGCTGAAGGTGATAGAACTCATGTATGCTTTGATATGGCAATCTCTTGGCATGTGATAACCAAATTAGACAACTTTACATGGTTTCCAATTCACTTATTCAGAAGCTTGGTAATTGCTTGGCATTACTTCCAAAATCAAGAGGAGATGAGGACAGCTGGTCTTTGATGATGCAGAAGATATTATTCTTGATAAATATTTACCTGAACGAGGCCTTCCAAGGTCTAGAAGAAGGTACATCAGTAGAGTATACCCAGACTATATTGTTGTCACACATTGCAGAGTATACCCAGACTATCTTAGTTGTTATTACAAAATTGTTGTCACACATTGCAGAAAGCAAAGGTAATGAGGCTATGAGGGTATTGCTTCCCCCAGGAAAAGATCCCCCTCCTCCTCTTGGCGGCCAGACAATTTTTGGAGAAGCCTCAAACCAAGCAACAAAGAGGCCTGAGCGATTGCTTATGTCCAGAGTCTCTACCCTAATGCTTTGTTGTTGTACAATGCTTACAAGTTCTTACACAGTTCAGGTAGTGTTATATAATTTGTGTTGATTTTTATATTTTCCGATTGACAAGAAGATAACATTTGGATTTTCAGTAAGCTTTTCTTGAGATTGTATGGGATCATAAATCTGAGTTTTGTTGACTCATAGGTAACTATTCCTGTTCGGCCATTACTAGCCCTTTCAAGGAGAGTGTTGATGGTGGATGGCTCCTTGTTACAAGCCTTATTTCCCTTCACAACAGCCTTGCAGCAAGAATTTATTTGCTCAGAACTTCCAGCTTTGCATTTGTACAGTTTGGAACTCCTGTCTGCTGTTGTAAAGGGACTGCGCAGGTAACATATAATGTTAGCATGTATTGTATTTTTTTTCTTTTTTGGTGAAGGAAGCATGTGATGGTTATGGTTTCTTTCCCAAGAAGGAAATAAAACTACTACCCTCTCATCACTATGTTATTTAAGACAAGATGCACTTGATGTCTAATTGGCAATTTGCTGCAAGTGCTGAATGTTTCATATGGAGTTCTTATAAGAAAAAGTGCTGAATGTTTCATGGGGAGAATGGGTTTTATAAGAATGTTTGTTTGACCATGTTTTAGCTTTGTTTGTCCATTTAATATTTTTCTCTTGGGGGGACGTGAAGGCTTTTTCTGCAGTACAGCAGCATGTCTTTACATTGAACCTAGTTTTGCAACTCTATAATACTTCGGATATCTCTTGTTTTAAAATTGTTTCCTACTAGAAAACAAAAATTTTCAGTCTCTTTCCTTCATCTTTGTTCTAAATATTTTTCATATTAGGTGAGACTGACATAATTTCTTTCCTTTCTGGACATCATCACTTTAAAGGATGTGCCTCACATCAGCCAATGCTGTATTTTTCTTTGCAGCCAACTATTACCTCATGCTGCGGATATTGTGCGACTACTTGCAGAGTATTTCCGGAGATGTGCATTGCCAGAGTTAAGGATAAAGGTCTACTCAATCATGAAAAATTTACTGATATCCATGGGGGTTGGTATGCATTTAATTCTTAGAAATCTTACTTTTTTGTTTATGTTACTGCATAGTTGCTTGGTGTTAGATGCTAAATTCCTTCACTAAGCATTACTTTTTCTTATGAACAAATTATTTCAAATCTGCAAAATTTGTTCTCTAAATTATCCATTTACTTTATATTTTACTGATATAAGCATGCCTGTCTTCATACTTATTGGCTGATGATATATGTATCGGATTATGTTATTGAGAGGGAGGATTTTGTTTTTTAATTTTAATTTTTTTGGTTTTTGGGGCAGGGGTAGGGGGAGAACATAATCTACGTCCAAGGCGGTAATAATAAGAACTTAAATCTGGTTTTAATTTGAGTGAGCACATGCCACACTCCCAAGTGCAGATGAAAACTACCAGCACTTGCTGTTTGAAGGACTGTCACAAATTTCCATCCCCATACCTAAAACCCTTAGAGCTATGTTCTATTATCAAGGTGGGGTGTCTATTCTGCTCTATTTATACAAGCTTTGACCGCTTTTTGAATTTAGCTTAGGACTCTTCTGAGTAGTGCAATCTTTTCATATGCATTTCCAGTTTTAATGATATGGAATAGTTTGTCATTATTCAGTGGTGCAGGGAGAGTGATTGAATGAAGCCAGAATAACAAGAAAATCTTAGACTTGTTGATTATTGCAATAATGCCCTGTTGAAGTTCTTCAATAACTTTGTTAATCCCAAAGAATACCAAAGCAATCAACAAAGAGAAACAATTCTCTGAATGTTATTTCAAAGACATCAAAAGCTCCTCCAATTGGTTACACACTTGACTACTTATGATAACCAAGTCGTAATTAAACTAGTAGACAAATCAAATAACAGAGATATCTTAATTTAATTAGGAATATTAGGATATCAAATAAAATAAAATCTTCTAAAATTTCCTAATTGAAAGGCGTTGATCACATTTAAACGAAATGCCAACATTCTCACCACCCATATTGCGTCACTTTCCCCAAGTTGGAAGAATTCGCCTTCAAATTCAGTTTGGCATTTGAGTCTTCTCTTAAATTTGGCCTTTCGACCATTGCAAAATCCATATTGATCACAATTTATTGAGAATTTCCATGCCATGAGAAGCTATGAAAATTGTATCTTGAAGTCCGATAAAGCCACTGCTGGTTCATCAAATTTTTGCACTGTTCACCCTAAGTAGGCATCCCTATATCAATGGTGGCTGAAGACACTTGCACCTCGCCTACCTTCTCCTTTAATGACACACCATCTTCAAGTAAGAAATCAATTAAATCTTCTTATACTTCATCATCTCTCAAATATTCATTGTATATTGGGATATCACAATAATTTTTGGTAATTATTAGAGAATTATCACCCGAACACTCATCGAATGGTGGGGGAGAAATTAGAATCAATTCTGACTGTAGAGAAGATTAATCACTATCCTAAAATACCTTTTGGAACTTTGGATCAAAAACTTTAATCTCCTTGAGAATATTCTCATGGATCACATAAGCAACAGCTTGATGATTATTGTGATCCCTCATTGGTCTTCCATGCATGTGTACAGAGAAAGCTCAGCATGATTGATTTTATCCCAAGACTTGGAAGCGATTGAGGCAATCCGTTTAACATCGGACGCCTTTGTATGCACAAAAAAGGACGTCATTTGGTTTACATGTTGATTGTCAGCACTTGTGCTAGTCGAGCTTCATCACCACATGCAGGCACGTTGTCCAGAGACATGTTCCCCCCACCAACGCATCTTCTAAGCTACTGTAGCGACATGACGTAGGAAAGATGGCAAGCTCTAATAATAACCTATGTAGGGAACGTGATTGACTTGTCAATTATCACAATAATAACAAACGAAAGTTTTCAATAACGTTGATTTTGAAGAATACCAAAGCAATCGACAAAAAGAAAACTATTCTCTGAATAGTAGTGCAAAATCATCACAAGCTCCTCAAAAAGGTTACATGTTTGACTACTTATAATAGCAAAGTCCTAATTAAACTAGGAAACATATCAAATAACAAAGAATTCTAATTTAACAAAGAAATTAGAACAAAGAAGATTCCTAATTAAATTAGGATATAAAATAAAATAAAATAAAATCTTCTAAAATTCCTTAATTGGACGGTATTGATAATGTTTAGACGAAATGTTGATATTCTTGCCACCCATATTTTATCACTAGGAAGCAACATTACAGTGCTACAATTAGTTTTTTTATTCATTTTCTCCACATTCAACACACACACGCCCATAAATATATTCATATATACATTTATGTATGTGTATATGGTATTTTCAATTCTGTTTTCTAGCTTAGTATGTTGGAGCTTCTGAGCATTTGACTGAATTTTACTATTGTCTATTTATGGTTTTGTTATGTGTAGCTGTTAATATGAGCTAGTGTTGCTCAGCATAGAACTTTAAATGCTGGTCTAAATTTTAAATTATTTCCTTTCTCATGAAAATCAAATTGATTTCTCTTATCCTGAGCAGGGATAGCTATATATCTGACCCAGGAAGTCATCAGCAATGCAGTTGTTGATTTGGATACCAGTGGCTGTGAGAGTGGTGGGACATGTTCTGGGGCATACTCTAAGGTCCCCACCGAGACAAGGGCACAGCCTTCTCAGAGGAAAAGAAAGCACGCGAGTACAACTAGGTCCCTTGAAGAGCAGCCTGATAGAGTTGGGTTGGAAGTGGAAACGCCCCAACATGAGACTCCGCTATCTCTGAAAATAGCTGCTCTCGAGGCGTTGGAGGCTCTCCTAACTGTGGTATGTTTTTTGGGCATATATCTCTGTGTAGAATGTTTATTTAAGCCGCATCTGCTTATGGGGAATATAATTATACTTGCAGTTGCACATATAAATTTCCGTAGTCACACTTGGGTTTTCTCCATTTAATCTGTTTGCGTTATTTAATGGTTTTAACACTTGATGTTGTTAAAACACATCCATCAAGTGGTAAGGGTTTGGTTGTTTTCCATTTGCATATTTACTGTTAAAGATCATGAGGCTCGGTGATCTTGTTGACTGTATCATCTGTTGTTCATGTATCGAAATGTATCGTACAATACATAGTGTATTGTACGATACTAACAACTATAGTTTTCACACTCATTAAATGTTCTACTGGCAGCACTTGACATATACTTGTGCTTCAAACATATTTCTTAAGATTGTTCCATAGAATCTACATATGACCTTGAGATGGAGTAGGAAGCTGAAAAACACAGCCTGAATAATTGACCTGGATAGGTTAATAGGTTGATGCTAATTGACTGAGGAAGAATAAATAATTTGTTTGATAGCCTGGTCAACTGATTAATCCTCAAAATTTACAATTCAATATGTTTTAGAAGGGTTAATTACATGTAATTCATGTTTAGTTATGTATAAATGTTATGTTTTGAAATATATAGGGTAGATTTGGTTGTTAACATGAATTTGCAGGGTACAAAGTGTAATTTAGCAAGGTTTGGAGATGGTACAAACTTAAGCAAAAGGGTTAATTACAAAATGCTCCCTTCTAGGTTAGCTCACATTTAATCAACTCCCTTAACTTTAGTTTCAACAATTTACCCCCCACCCCCCCAAGTTTGAATATTTGTAAATTATGTCAAAGCCAAAATGCAAAACATTCATTTACAAGTCATATAATCTCAAATTTTACAAAGAGATAAAATATGGGAGGTAATCTGTTGAAATTAAACCATAGGAAGTTGATTGTAATTTGATCCAAACTTGAAGAGAGCATAGCCGGTTAATCTATTTTTTAATTTTAAAAATTTATCATTTTGGTGTTCAACTGCATTTTTCATTTTTTTTAACCATTCATCATTTTAACCCAAAAAAAAAAAAACCCATTCATCATCCTAGAACACTTCAAAGAATTTAACAAAAATAAAGTATGTTAATCTTCATGCACATCAAAAAATGAGGCTTTAAATGGTTGTCGTTCAAGTATTAACACTCAAATCAACTTCCATAGTGTCAATCACATTACTATCTCTTGATAATGAAGAGCCTGATGATTGATGGAAAAATTAATATTCTTCACATTATTAATAGTAGAATTAGATGGATCAAGCTCAAACTGCATTTCATAAAAAGAATAATTCTCAATGTATTGGCAATGTATATTCTGTTTCACAGTTAAGTTAGAGGTTAGATTAGTTGTTAAATTAGCAGGGGTTAGATTAGTTAGAGTTAGATATACTGTCATGGTCAATTTATTGAGAATATCCTTAAGATCCTCCAGATCTTGATTAATTCAAAGATTGATAGCCATTTGGGCTTGCTTGAATTGGTTTAAAGTGTTCTCAAGATGATAGTATGATGAAAAATACAATAGTTCATGATGATGAAAAATACTATGGTTCATGCAGTGTAGGATTGACTGGTGTATAATATTCGTCTCCCCAACCATAATCAAGATAACAAGGTTCAAAATTATGGTTGGAGTAAGGTATTTGAAATTCATGTATAGCAATAAACTGATCCAACAAAACCTGGAATTTTAGGACACTTCTCAATGCCCAAACTCGGAACAAATCCCACAAATATACTCCATGAAGGGAGTATTTAACACCTTATTAAAAGTAGAAAATCATAAGAAAAATTTTATACAAAAAAGAAAAACAAGGAGAAATATTCACAAATTCTTTCCCACTCTCTTACCCAAATATATATTTTTTTTTCCGTCAACAGTGTTAAAAATGTTTGTCTGTTTTTGTTGTAATCAAAGTATTTTCCAAGCGTAGGAATGTTTATCGAGTTACTAACAAAAAATATCTTGGTTTTGGATGGGGAGTGTGAAAGAAGGGATATACTCTAAAATCAGTTGATGAGAGGGCTGATTGTGTGAATATGATTTAAAGAAAATTAGTAAGGAAAATGATATAGAAAAATACTCTTTAGTTTTCGAATCTGGATTTGTTCATATATAGTAGACATTGTATTATGCAACTTATAACTCAGTCAAATTCTTGTGTCAGTAACAGATTAACCGGAAGATAATAGTTAAAATCTAATGTTTAAGAATATTGCTTCAACATGTTTGTTGGGAATTGAAAGCATTGCATATGCCAAGACTCAACTAGTCTATAAACAACCAAACAACTTATACAAATTGTCCAGCTTTGTTAAGTTGTTCAACCATATATGAAGACCAAAAAGGTGAATGATTGGAAGTGAGAATTGAAGATCCAGCGTGAAATATTTGCTGGATATTTTAAGAATTACCTATGCCAAGACTCAACTTGTTTATAGGTAATCAAAGAATTATACAGAATACCAAGCTTCACTAGAAATTATTCAATCAGTTGGGAAAATATAAAGATTTAGCATTAAACCAAGGGAAGACGTCACGCAATTACAATATCAAACTTATATTTACATACCTTCACCTTTAACTAAAGAGATAAAAAAAACTACTTACTCTTCATTGTCACGGCAAGGGTAGAAAAGGAAGTGAAGAGCTAGAGAGAAATTTCTCCAAATACAAATAAGAAGTTAGCTAAAAATACAAAGGAAAACTAAGGGAAAAACTACTACAGACTAGGGGTATTTTATAGGGAGAAAGGAGAAAAACCCGTCTTCGCCGTTCATTTCGATCATGTGCTATACACTTATTTAAGTTAAATATTTTTATATATTTTCTTAATTTTTTTCTTCAATGTTAATTTAGGTCTACCCTTATTTCTAGTACCATTTAAAAGAAATTCTATTATTTTTTCGAATTAGTGCTTTTATCGGCCTACGTTGAACATGACCAAACTATTTTAATTTATTCTCTCTTAACTTATCCTTAATTGGAGTTTTCCTTACCATTTCTCTAATACGGTCATTTCTTATTCTATCCTTTCTAGTTTTTCCACACATCCATCTTAACATTCTCATTTCCACTACACTCATTTTGTCACTATGTTGTTTTCTAGTTGCCCAACATTCTGTCTCATATAACATTGTTGTCCTTATAATTATTTCGAGCACTAATCAACTCTAACATAACTTGTATAATTTATTATACCAAATACATAATTACTTTCCGAAAAAAATACATAATTATAACTGTCATGTTTTGTAATTGTGTCATGCTTGGGTCAATATTCATAATGCATGAATTAGAGATTTGAATTAGGATCCCTTGCTTTCAACTAAACAAGCTACCCATAGGCCTTACATAGTTGATAAACTTAAAATCCACTTTTTCTAGAAGCTTATATAATCAAATAAAAAATCCTCCAAGTCTATATGAATTCATACAATACCAGGTCTATCAGAAATTTTCTTTATACGGTGCAACTAAGGGTTTGCAAGTCAATAACTAGTTAACTTGAACTTGCCAATTTCTAGGGAAAAAAAAATTGCCAATTTCACAAATATTGTTTCAAGTTCGTATCATGTAAATGTTGAAAGGTAACACCGAGTTTAACCCCCTCCTCTCCATATTTATGGGGGTCTATGATGATAGATTTGAACACAAACTAATTTTTGACCTTGATTTCAGAAAGTGACTACACTCGTCTTACTTATGTTGTTGAACCTTGAATCTTCACCATTATTGTAGATAGCCCCTTTAATGGGATTCCTTGAATACTTGTGAATTGTTATTTTACCCAGCTGCTTTTATTGGGCTTTTGTCAAAGACTTTTAAAGATTGGTATTTTGTAAACCTTTTGGAGAACTAAATAACGATGAGAACAATTATTGTATACCATCTCTGACTGCATGGTTGCTTTGTACTTTATGTGGCAACTCTCAACTGTCAATCAAGTTTAAGAAGAGGTTTTCAAAACATCCAAAGGATTTTGTGCTTAATCTTATATTCAGTTGCTTGATGTCGTGGGTGAGAGTTATTTGATATGATTTGACTCTGAATATTCCAGATTATTTGATAAACTTTGACCCATACCCTATTGGCAACCATGGGTATACCCCCATACCCTTATATTTAACACTAGTTAAAGTTTGTGGCACAATCAAACCAGTTCGTGAAGATATGATTAGTGGGAAGTCGATCATTTGTTGCTAGCCCCAAGAAGAGCGACATATTTAGTTCTTCCAAATGGTATGTGCTAACATTGGAAAGTTTGTGGTAAGGTTTGTAATTCATGGAAAGTTTTATCTAAAAGATCTAATAGGAGTCTGACACGTTGCCACTGTTTCATGTGCGAAGGACCCAATTGGAATTTACTTGCTTTATTTGGCCATTAGGAACTTAGATCTCATTTATTGAATTTAATTTCCTTTTAAATGTTACGTCTATCTTATAGGTTACTTCTAGGACTAGGAAATTTTTTCTCTTGGAGCATTCAATAGGAATAGAACCTGCATACTATATGTGACACAATGGATTCTGCCTCAGCACTGCTGTTGGATTTCATTATTGATATTTGAGATGCCATTAGCTGGAAATACTTTTTTTTGTTGTCTCACATAATGCAGTACCTTCAATAACCTACCTTATCTTCTGTTTGGGATGATATGTGACCTCATGAAGCAGCATATAGACAGTTATTTCCTTTCTTTCTTTCATTGAAACATGCGGAGCCTACTGCACCTTTTCTTGATTCTAAATTATTTGTATGTTTGTGTTTTCAAATAATAGCATTCCTATATCACAGGTGAACTGCTTCTATGATTCTTCTTGTTTTTTATTTTTTTGTGCTGACCTAGAACAAGTGAAAACCACTATTTACTTTAGCAGGGTGGTTCTTTGAGATCTGAGAGTTGGCGATCCAAAATCGACAATCTTCTTATAACTGTAGCTACAAACTCTTGTAAAGGGGGCTTGGCCAATGAGGAGGAAAGTGTTTTCCTTTCCAGTCAATTTACACCGACTTGGGCAGATTTTCAGTTTGCAGCCTTACGAGCACTTTTGGCGTCTCTTCTTTCTCATGCTCGTGTTCGGCCCCCATATTTAGCCCAAGGTCTTGAGCTTTTTCGTAGAGGTAATTGTTGTTATCTTGATATTTTACAACTGCTTTTCTTTCCCATCACCATTAATGTGCAACGGTTGCTCCTACCCCAACTCTGCTATGCTTCAACCAAAGAGGTATGCTAACAAACAAATGTATGAGACAACAGTAAGATAAACCATGATTTTAACAGCAGGATTTTGGGCTATGAATCAAATTTTGAAGTTAAAGTTAAATTGGCAGAAAAACAATCTTAGTAGTGTTAAAACAGTAACACAAGAATGTGCAATTCTATTCCACTGATGAAATTTGTACTTGGTACAAATTATGGTATTTCCTAGAAGTGCTAAAGTTTGATTGAGGCAGGGAAAGTTGTATGTTATTGTGTGGTTGTGTTCTTTGTGCAACTGAAGACATTGCAACAGAAATAATGGTATTCTTACGAAGGATTCTATGACTGAGACTGCCAGTTGAAGACAATAATAGAATTAAAAGATGTGAAATCTTGCATGATATATCGGAATAGCACAGTAGTTAGCAGGAAGTCTATGGTGATCTCTCTCTCTCTCTCTCTCTCTCTCACACACACACAGACATCCACTCGTTGATCACACATTTGTCTGCATGCTACAAACTGTTGTGGATGAGTAGAAATATTTTAATTTGACTTTCTGAAGCAAAAAAGGAAGCTACCACATTAGTTAGTTATCAAGTTTGGTCGCACGGCCGACCATTTCACATAGAACTCAGTATAAAGCTTTCAAAACATAATGAAATGGGGGTTATAGTGCATAAAGAAATAGGATAACTTTATCTTAATGGATATTCACAGTTACAAGCATTTTCTGTTGAATTTCGTTTCCGTATGACCAGAAGTTCTCACTCTTAATGCCTATGTCATGCACAATTTCGCAAAACAACTGTGTTTTTGAAATAACTGTGCTACCGCAAGGGTGATGCTGCTCTATGGTTAATTCTGTGCTATTTTTGGCCATTTATATGTTTTCTTTCAACCTTTTTTACTTTTCTGTTCACTTCTTACTAAAACACAGCTCATGGATATATGGTGTATGCAGGCATGCAAGAAACAGGAACACAGCTTGCTGCATTTTGTGCGCATGCTCTCTTGACCCTGGAAGTGCTCATACATCCCAGGGCCCTCCCACTAGTAGATTTTCCGTCTGCGACCGAATATTCCTTTGATGGACTAAACGGCAGTTACCGAGAGAATATGTACACAAGTGGTCAGAGAGAAAACACCACATTTCCCGTTACCACAGTGGGAAAGGGACCAGGTGATCCCGAGTCTGAAGATGATGACCTCTATGAAAATTGGCTGGGGATTGGTGAAGAAATCGTGTTTCCAATGACTGAACAAGGAAAGGATACAAATCAGCCCAAAAAGCCCTTCAAAATTTCTACAGATCCTTTTGTAGAAAAGCTGGTTTCTGTAGATGCTTTGTCAGGTGCAAAAGTTACTAAAGAAAATGAACTGGAGGTTTCAACAGCTGTTGCTGCTGAGGGAACACTTGGAGATGGGGATGAAATCATGGTTGAGTCACAGCAATCTAAAGAAACCATTAAGCAGTTTGGCAAACCCATGCGCCATGAAGGTGAAAGGGTTGCAGGTTTTGTTGATGGCTCCACAAATGCTCAGGCTGGCACGGTTGTTTCACATAGTGGTGCATTAGGTCCGATGGAGAGTGAAATGGCACTTGGAAACGATGGCTTGGCAACTAAAGGTGATGGGTTCCCTATAATAGGCGAAAAAACTTCTGATGCTGTATCGGGTAAGGACATGTTAATGAGGTGTGATAAATCCACAATGGGTGAAACAAGTTATGGTACGACATCAAATTCAGAGGGAAGCAAGGGGTTTGTGTTTGAAATGGACAATGAATCCTCTATGGACTCCCTTCCTGATATAGTGGACGCTGATCCGGATTCTGACTAGAAGTAGGGTTAATTTAGGGTGGCATACATGGCATTCTGCAATGCCTGAGGGAGGTTGTATTTAGTGTTCTAGCTTAAGTGTGAATTGTGAAATGACAAGTTTTGATATCTCAAAGTAATTTAATGTATACTTTCTTCTTTATATTCCGTCATCAACCTTTACTCGACATAGAATCCAAAAACCCAACATTTCCTTTTCTCAAAGCGTATAAGGGGAAAAGTGCTCTTGCATTGTTAGCCGCTTCTCAGCATTTCCTGCCTGAGTTGTTGACCATCACCTGACCTCACACGAGAGGCCCTGCACCAAGTGATTATCCGCCAAAAAACTCTACTTATGATCATGTGTCTCCTGATTTACATGTGTAGGGAGTGATGACAAGAAAGCTAAAGCTTTACAATTACGTACCAAAGCACACCATCAGCCCCAAACTTTGAGGTGTGAAGTGGTCTACCTAGATGAGCGGCATACGCCTATTCCTGCTAAAAGTTTGACTTGAGCTAAACAATTGAGCTTGAGTTTGACTGCTGTTTCCCAGTCTTACCGAAATTCACATTTTTTTACGGTTAAAATTATAATTTTTTGAGATATAGTACTAAAGGTCATTACTTTTAAAATTGAAATTATAAATGATTGAAATATTTCATGATCGATCATGAAATGTTGTTAACAATACCTAGTGTATTGAGTTGTCCTTTTTTATAATTTTAGCGTTCTAAGTAACACTCATATTACATATGGATTCAATTATAATACTGAAAAAGATTTTTTTGATATAGTGTATTTATTTTTGGTCAAAAAAAGACTGGGAAATATGTAAAAAAAATGATTTTATTATTTCAATTTACTTAATTATTTTCATAATCAAAAGTTATAATTAAATCAAAGAAAAATTAATGGTCCAAAGTCAATTTTCAATAGCATGCCCAAAATTAATTTTTAAGTGACATATCACTATCCTACTCCACAGGATCAGTAGTCATTAGTCTTTATTCCAAGTAAAATAAACAAAACTGAGGTTGAAGTAGTAAGCTGCTGCTATTTGTTGACCTGAGAGTTATAACCAAGCTACATTTGACTTGTGCAATATCTGACCCTGTAAATCTTGAGTAGAACTCATGTGAAGTTGGTGAGTAACCACTACTCAGAATACTCAACTTTTTATTTTATCAAATTTAATTAAATTTAAATCTCCACCGTTAAAATTATTGAGTCCATCGTCCATCTATCTCATTGATAATCAATAGAATCTGATAAATTAAATAGTGAATGAACGAATTTGATCAAAATTAAGACAACTTAAAGATTAAGAGGAACGAAATCAGAACTCAGGTCTAAAAAAGTGCTTTTGATTTCTTCAAACACAATGGGTTCCAAACATTTGGTTTTCCTCGTTCCTATTTGTTGTTTGCATAGCCAATTCACTATATAATCGAAATTTAAATTATCGAATACAAGTTTAGCTTCAGATCTTTTAAATAAATGACCACTATAAACTTGGCCACACATGCCAAAAATTTGACACAATAAAAACTCGATATTAATATAGTTATTATAAGTGAATTATGGATGAATTAAGTAAATTTTGACCAAATATAATAAAACAAAATACCAATTATTGTCAACCCACCATTCGAAACATTATAAGAACTTGTACTAGAGCAGCAACAGTTGGACTTTGAGTGTTCAATATTTTGATGGTACAAGTAGACCCTAATGGACAAGGAAATGGTCTAAAACTCGTATACTTAAAAGTTTCAAACTTGAGGACGGCTAGTGCCAGAATTACAAAAACGAGTTACTCTATACTACATGCTAAAAAAATTAATTTAAAAGAGAGAATGCTTGACAAGTTTTTCCTCCTCAATTTTTTTTTAATTTTAAATTATTTAATTGACCCTCTCTAATTAAATTCCAATATATGACCTATGTAACTATTTCTAACTTTTTGATAACTAGTTCACATTTGAATTTCTCATCATTTTTGTTAACTACTACACATTTATAATTTTGAATAATATCAATTCTACATATTAATAAGTAATTTTTTAATTATAGTAGGATGAGGTGGCGTGTGGATTGAGTAGAGTGGGAGTACTAGTAATGGTAACCTTAAGATGAAAAACTTTTAAATATCTATTTTACTCAAATAAAGAATTGTAAAGATTACTCTATCATTTCACAATTAAATATCTAAATTACTATCATATCTTTATGTATTTAAAATTTCAAATTATCGATAACATCTCTTTTAATTATCTATTTATAAATATTAGTTTTTATAATTTTTTTGATTAACTATATTACCCTTAAAAATGAATTATTATATTTTCAATAAAGTGTTTAAAAAACATTCAAAACTCCATTAATCTAATATTATTCATCTCATATGCAAAAATAATATTATACCTGCGTATATGTATTTTCTTTTTCATTGAAAAGTTTAGCCTTTTCATTTCTAAGATAAAAAATAATTATATATATAATTTTTTTAAATCAATTTATGTTATATCAGTATAATTCTTTAGCTATAATAAACTTTTTAAATTGTACTAAGATTTTAAGTAAAAAAAAAATATTGTCATTTATTTTTAAGCAAAACTTGATTTTTTTAAAATTTTAACATATTTGATAATACATAATATAGAGTAGTATATTAAAATTTATCCCAATTGATCTAATTAATTCTTAATTACAACCAGATTCTAATGTAATTTGTATATTGAAAATTACTTTTATTTTATTCAAATAATTATAAGTGAAATATTAAACAAATTAATTTTTTAAAAAAATTCATTTCTCAAAAATAATAAAAAAATAAATATCAATCACAAAATTCTAAAAAAAATAGAAAATTTAACTTTTTTTTTTTTTTTTTTAAGTTAGAACAAAGGATTTTGGGAAGAGACAAATATACCTAATATATTTTATTAATTTTTATGTACAAAAATTATTTATATGCAATGCATGTGGAACATTGCTAGTATAGATAAATCAGAGCAACCCAAAATACAAAAATTTCACAATCAATAGTTACGAATATCCTTCTCTCAAAGGAAAAGATGGCGTAAAGTTGATTTGAATAAATTTTGTTCTTCCTTTTTGTCAATATTTTTTCGACATGATCAAGGGAGGCAAAATTGATGCTCGATCTTGGACTACTATTTTGAATTTTGTGAATAATAAATAACACAAAAATACCCAAAAATAAAAAGAAAAGTCAATACCATACCAAAAGTGATTAGTAGTGATAGCTGTTGATTTGATATATTTGTAACTATTGATTGTGAAACTTATCAAATAAAATAATAATAAAAAAAATTTATACAATTTTTGTAGACTCATTCAACGGCTATTAACATCCCTTTTAAAACTATTTTTCAAATACGAATTACCTCTAATTTAGTATATAGTTAGATTTTATAATTAATTAATTATGGTATTGGGTAAGCATTGGCTGCCACTGGGTAGTTGGGGCTCCATCTTCTACCTAACAAAAAAGAGTATCGTTTTGGTGGTTGGTGGCCCCATTTTCCACGCCCCATCGCCCATCTTTTTTGAGCGTTGATGACATTCATTGACTTCGTCTTCTACGATGCTCCCAAACTTAAACTGGGCAGCCTCTCAACTCTCGTGAGATTTCAATTCGGGCATGTTGGATCCAATTTTTCGTACTTAACCCAAATGTCTCGTGTCTCGTGTCGTGTATTTCATCGTGTTTAAGGTTCGGGCATGCATTTTATATTTAAGGTGTGTTCGTATTTAGACACTAAATTTATTTATTTATTTGTCATATTCTTTGTGCGGCTTTCAATTTCAAACAATTCAATTTACACACTCAACTCTATTAATCTATATGTATCTCTTTTTTCTCTCTCGTATCCCTTATCTTATTTTTGATGTGTTCATTTTAATTTTAAATCGTGTAGTTAAAAAAAAATTGTTATTCAAAATAGAAAAATATCGTACGATTAATATTTAATTTTTTGTATTACATAGTATTTTCGGATGAAATTATTATTATTTTATTATATATTTGATTAATCTGTTGATTCCATGTCATTGCGGCTTGTGCATTGTCAGCCTCAGTCCTGCAAAAAGTACAGGACTGGAGTGGGGCAACCCCAATCTCAATCAAGTCTGGCTGCAAAAGTGGTTGCAAAATTCAAAAATAGATTAACCAGACTTTAGGAGTGTGGTTAATGTGTTTTTCCAGCACACTCCTCAATCATACAAGCAAGAAATTTTGCAAGAAAAAGCTTCAACATGCTTCCCCCCTCTTTTTATGTTTGCACTTTTTATATTTACCAATTTTTGTAATCAACACCTAAATTTGATTTAACTTTAACTCAATTCAACTAAACTATATATAATATACACTTATTTATTATATTAATCCCGTGATAGTCATAATACTCACTATTTTTGCACATCAATATGTATCTTATGATATTTGAATCTCCTAAAACACGTGTTAAGTTATTATTATGAGTTAGTTTCAAAATGACCAAAATCTCACTTTCTAAAAATAAAAACCTGAGATTCGCCAAAAAATAACATTTTTTTCACTCAATTCCCTATTACCATTTTTTTTTCACAATGCCCTAAGGCCTAATTTTCAATTGTTGTTAAATTTTAGACAAAAAATAGCAAAAGGTCATGTTTTGTACAACTTTGATTTTTTAATAACATAAAATAAATTTAAATCTATCTAATAAGATTTTATCCTTATATATATTTTTTTATTCATTTCTATTACACCACTTATTTTCTATCAGAATAAATTATTTAATTTTTGATTACTTGTGGTTCAATACAATTTTATTTTAAATATTATTCATATACGATAGTGTACATATTAATATTTTTTTAAGGTCACATATTTTAATTTTTTTAGAAAAGTAATGGGAAGTTTTAAATTATATATGTAAAGAAAGAAAAGGGAAAAATTATAATTTAATATAATAAAAATAATTTTTTAAATATTCAAATTTTATGTTATATCATGTTTCATTAATAGCTAAAGAACACTGATATTAGTGCCAGTATTTTTGGCCTGCCTACAACGATGACTCACTTGTCCCAAACTAAACTTTCAACGCCCATTCAGAAAATGTGGGGCCCCCCAAATTTCAACCATTAAACTTGTCATTCAACCATGGCTGTTCCCTCTTCCTCTCGGTAGATAGTACACACACATAAAAACACCCCCCCCCCCATTCACAGCCTCAGATCACTCTCTCTTCTCGGACTTCCTCTGTTTGCTTTCGATATTTTGTGAGTTGGGTTTGAAATGGCAGATGAAATAGCAGCACAGAAATGGGTGCTGATGGTAACGGCTCAAACACCCACCAACATAGCAGTGATAAAGTACTGGGGGAAGAGAGACGAAACCCTGATTTTGCCAATCAATGATAGCATCAGTGTTACTTTAGATCCGGCTCATCTTTGCACCACCACCACTGTTTCTGTTAGTCCCAGCTTTGAGAAAGATCGTATGTGGCTCAATGGCAAGGTAAAATTTTTTGGGTGTTGTTTCCTTTTCTGGATCCTATACTTTCCGTTTGGTTGGTTAGAAAACTGAGGAAAACAAATAATTATTCTGAATCCTATTGGGCCCGTGTCAAAACAGAATGACTTCGTAATTAGCATATGCACACATGAAATATATTTATGTAGAATCGGGGAGGGAGGGAGAGGGGGAGAGAGAGGGATGAGTAAATTCCAATGAGCAATTTATAATTGGAAGCAAGTAGACTTTCTAAGGAAAGTGAAATTTGAGCTAGATTATATGGCGAGATTTGAAAATCCTTCTTGGCCCATTTTGAAATGGGAAAACTTCTTGATTTTACACATACACAAGGACGCATGTTAATATTTAGAGACAGAGGGAGAGAGGATAAGAGAAGATTTTATTAATTCTGAAAAAAGTAAGGTTTTATTTTCCTCTTTTTTAAAGGAAATCCGATTGCCAACTCTAAAGGAGAAACAATTAGAGCTTAGTATCTTACAAAACATAAATTAACTCAAATTTGGTTCTAAGAAGTTGAAGATGAAAATGTGCTATTTCTTAGCTGAATTAAGTTTGATAATAATGTTTGATGCTCAGGTGGACTTTTTGGTCTCCTGGGTTTGAACTGGTGAAGACATTTTTCATCCAAGACTATGATTTTTAACAATGAAGTAATGGGTAAAAAACAAGAAATGAAAAGGAAAAAGGAAATAAATAAGGAATTTTCATTCTAAACATAATGACCTCATCTGAACTAATACGAAATAGTTACAATAACTTTGATTATTGTAGAAAGATATTAAGAGAAATCAAATTCTGAGTTTGACATCTTTGAGTTAAGCTGAATTGAGTGGAGGTTTTTTTTTTTTGCCTTATACAACAAACAGATATTTTACAAGTTTCTGATTTATTAATGTTTGTTGATTTCTGGCATGTCTGGTTAATGCAGGAGATATCCCTTTCTGGAGCTAGATACCAAACTTGTTTGAGGGAGATTCGTTCGCGTGCTACTGATGTTGAGGATGAGAAGAAGGGTATCAAGATTGGGAAAAAGGATTGGGAGAAACTGCATGTGCACATTGCTTCTCATAACAATTTCCCAACTGCTGCTGGTTTGGCTTCCTCAGCAGCCGGTTTTGCTTGCCTTGGTAACATTCATCTTCTTTATGTTACTTGTCACATTGTTGGTGGTTTAACAAATTATCATGGTAGGACCATGGTAAACAATAAGAAATGCATGAAATTTTTGCATTGGTAAATGTTTAGAATTTGATGTTTATTGTCTTATGTTTGACCTTTGGAGTCAGTAGACATTACCAGTCTTACGGGCTGCTATCCAGCATATAATGAAGACACCCTACTCATATTTTCAATTATAATAATCGTTACCATGTGAATGGATGTTATGCATGCACTGAGGTGCATTAGTTTTTGACGTCGTTTAAAATAGAGTGTTGTCCTTGTTGTGCTTTTCCGCGCCTTAATATTTCTTGCAATGAATTCAAAAATGATTGGCTGCATCTTTCTATCACTACTTTTTTAGGAAGTATAGCATAAAGATGATTTTGTATGAGTGAAAAAAATGAAAAGAGACAACAGAGAGAGGTGAAGAATTAACCTCTAGTGCCATGCAATGTTGCATTTTCCTTTTTATATATGTCAATAAATTTCTATCTGCCCTTGAAGATCATTGTTAGTCACTTTTGTGGATTACCATGCTAATCGGCCCGCAACACAAAGCATGTTGCTTTTGACTTAATACTAATACTCAGGTGACATTTTGAGTGTGCAAAGTAGCCATTGTGATACTGAGGAATTACTATTTCTATAGAAGTAGAAATTTTTGTTGATGGTGAAACTTTCAGCCTAACTTTGATCATTTTGTTGTTATATATATATAAATATATGTATATGCAATATTAATTTACTTAGATACCTATTTGGTCGTTACAGGATGCATTGATCCTTATTGTGCATATGGTGACCATGAGAACCATTTCCATGTTACAATTTACTCTACATATCTGATCTGATTCTGTGTTTGTTATGATACATCTCTTTGTTGGCATCCACCTAGTAAAATTCAATTCTGTGTTTTGAAGACATTTATTGCTCATGACGAAAATGCGTTAATGAGGGATTTAAATCGTGTCTGGAATGAATATGTATGCTAATAATAATGCATTTTGTGCTACAAAAAATTATTGTTTTCATCTTTGAATATGCAATTTTCCGAAAGCCACTTCTTTGTATTACTTTTTCATATTTGCTAATTAACTTTGGGATATATAATGGCTTATTGTATCCAAAGCACTTGGGATAAGTGATTTTTTGGTTATAATTTGCAGTTTTTTCCCTTGCAAAGCTAATGAACGTGAAAGAAGACCAAGGGAAACTTTCTGCTATAGCAAGGTACTTATTTATAGTTGATTGTCTCTTTTTCAAGGAGGTGCTACTGCTTGGACTGCATGATGCATCTTGTCTTCAATTTAACAACTTGATGTCTTTTTGAGCATGTATTCTCAGTTTACTACTTCCATAGATAAGTCAAGTTTAACTGGTAATCATATACATTTCAGGTGTTAATATCTTGTAATTCATTTGTGGGCTTGTGATTTCTTTCTAATGTAGGCCATTTTAATGATTTGTGTGTGTTGTTTTTTTTTTTTTGCTCCGTTTAGTTTTCCCGATAATAGGGTTACAAGAATGCAAGAAAACAATGAAGGTGATATTCTGAAGTGTGATTATTCATGTGCAGGCAAGGTTCGGGCAGTGCTTGTCGCAGTTTATTTGGTGGATTTGTCAAGTGGAAGATGGGAAAAGTAATTTTGATTCTGAGGTTTTTATTTTGGTGGCTTCTGTGGAGAGGGCATGTTATCCTTCTGTGTTATTATTCTAATTTTTTTTACCTGGATTTATCAAGGAGGAGGATGGAAGTGACAGCATTGCTGTTCAACTTGCTGATGAGAAGCACTGGGATGAGCTTGTGATTGTTATAGCAGTGGTATGTGCTTTTCTTACAAATGGAAATCTGTTGTACAAAAATTGTAAAAGCTCCTTTTGAGCAGTGGGAGATCATTGTGGGTATATATGCAAGCCTTTTCCCCAACTCCAATCAAATAGTTTTTGCCACTGATCTCCCATCCCCACGTTGCCCCTGTTTGAATTATGACCTTTTGGTTGGTGAGACTACCATTTCTTAAAAGTCCTAAGCATAGTTATCAAATAGTGTATCGAAAGGCGTATCATTTTTTAAAAATAGTGTATCATATCGTGTATCGTAAGATACGGTGTAATTTTAAATAAATAATAAAAAAATATATATACCTTTGAAAAAAAATCATACACTCATAAAAATATAGCATTTCATTCATACTTCACCACCTATTCAAGTCATCAACATAGTTCACTAATATTATAATGCGAAGTTTATAACCATAGTTCACTAATTCAACCTTCAAACCCCAAAGAGATTTTTAATCCAAATTTCTAACATCTATTTTGAACTCGATCTATAAAATTAATCAAGATTCAGAAATTTTTATACAAAAAAAAAAAATTAGTGTCTTATTTAGACAAAACAATGTCATTTCAAGAAAAAAAAAAAAAGTTTTGCGCTTATCAGTTGTATCGTACTGATACGTATCATATCGTAAAAACGTATCGTGTATCGGACGATACGATGCAAAAACGATACATAACTACAATCTGTATCGTTTTACCTCCGTATCGTACGATACTAACAACTATGGTCCTAAGAGAAATGCTCTCTATAGAGAAATTCATTACTTGCTTTATGTATTTTTCTACTTAATCTGACATAGGCATTTTTTACCATTATTTTCGTTCTTGAACCTATTTAAGGACTACAATATTGGGACAAAGAATCTTATATTATTTTGTTATCATCTTGTACATGCACCATATTTTGTACTTTTGACAACACGATATTGATATCATGTCTAGGGTTCATATGTTCAATAAATCTGTTTTCTTTACTTTTTTCATTTCTCTTTTTTCAGTAAACACCCATTTTTTTCTTTATTTTGCCTAATAAATTTGGTCCTGCACTTAATTGTGCAACACTCTCGGTTTGAAGAGCAACTTTGTGGTGCTCATATGCTAGTCCTTCTTAGTTATCTCTGTCTACTGCTTTCTTTTGCACCCCTTTGATTTTGATTCTTTACTTCTGTTATTTTTTCTGGTCTGAATTGATGCTAAAAAGGAAGATTTATGGTATTCAATTAGCGTGTTTTGTTAATTTCAGGTAAGTTCACGGCAGAAGGAAACAAGTAGCACTTCAGGAATGCTTGAGAGTGTTGAAACAAGTATGCTTATAAAACATAGAGCAAAGGTACTCTTCAGCTTTGTGCGTTCTACACAGTTTGGGAGTTTTCAATTAGATTATCTTTATAATAGAGTACAACATAAAAAAATTACTTTTGTTTTTTGCGGTTGAGATCGTTTTAAATTTTACTTTAAAGTTAATTGGACAACTAATATTTTAACATTCTAAATTTAATAGGAAAAATAGGCCGCTTAAGGGTGCGTTTGAGGTGACTTTTCAAAAGTGCTTCTAGTACTTATGACTTCTCATAAATATTTAAAAAAAAAAGTTGTGTTTGAAACAACTTATTTTAATTACTTCCAAATAAGTCAAAAATAGTTTTACCACTTAAATAAGTAAATAAAAGTAAAGAAAAATAACTTCTCTACAAAACACTTCACCCCCACTGCCGTCGCCGCAACTCCACCTCCATCACCACCACTGCCCCATCACCATCACCTCCCGTGCCACTGCCCCATCACTACCACCCCCACCTACACCACCATCACTGCCGTCATCACTTATTACCAATTGCTACCATTGTTACCACCCACCACCATCATCATCTCATTCTTATATTTATTATCACTGCCACTATCGTACCACCATTACCATCGTTCACCGCTACCACCCACCACAACAACCCACCACCACCAGTCGTCGCCCACTGCCACTGACGCTACCGCCCACTGTCGCCGCCACCCACGCCATCCTTTGTTATCCACCCCATTACACCCACCACACTTACCACCATTCACCACCACCCACCACGATTATCGTCCACAAGCACCAGTCGTCGCCTACCACTACTCACACCGACCACCACTATTGTAACTGTCCACCACCACAACCCACTACTGTCGTCGCCTCACCACTCCCACTGCCAACCACCATCACCGTTGCCACCCATGGCTGCCATCATAATCACGGTTGTCGTTATCCACCATAACCATCACCGTCTCCCACCACCACCACCATAGTCGTCCACTATCACTACCACCGCTCACCATCTACAACTGATGCTTAAATTCTTTTCTCTCTCCTTTATGTTTGTGATTTGATTTCAGTGTGAATACAAATAAGTTTATGATTGACAATTTTTTTTATTACTCTATGCCTATAGGCATATGCAATAACTAGTTCTTTAATATGGTGTGTTAAATCTTGGTAAAATCCATTTTACCTCCATAAGTTTGACTTTGTAGCACTTTTTGTCTTGTGATTTGAATATAACTACATAATCTTCATCTAGTTTTGCTTCTCACTAAGTGCATCCAAAGGTGATCATATAATTATGAATTACCTTAAATCTTTACTATACTTCTCTCTAGCTCCTCCTTGCATTGACAACCTGAACCTCTACCACCCCCGAAGCTAACCTCTCCCTCCCCACTGCCACAGCCATGACCACGGCCACCACACAATACACCCTACAACTTGCCCCCTTCTCCTCTTCGTCTTTACCACCACGACAACCACCACCGGAGAAAGTCTTTTCATAAAGATTATATGGCCTTTTTTTTCCTTTCGTATTAAGGTTGCCTTTAATTGAGATTTTCAGGCACCCACTCTTGATTTGGGTGTGTGCCTCTCAATTTCCGTCAATTTGGATGGAATTTGTAGCAGTATCACTTTAGTCTAAAGCTAGATGGGGTTATCTGGTTACATTTGATCACAGGCGGGTAAAGTGTTACAAGGCCAAACCTCAAGGGAGTATAATGGTTTTTACCTTTCATGGGGTTTTTCTGGGCATATTTTCCTTTAGTTATGGTCATTGGAGTCCTATTTGAATGATGGAAGTTGGATTTGTTTTTTCTTTTTTTTCATTGTTGTTTTTGGAACGTCTCAGGAAGTAGTACCAAAGCGCATAATTCAAATGGAAGAAGCCATAAAAGATCGTGATTTTCCATCCTTTGCACGTCTGGCTTGTGCTGACAGTAATCAGTTTCATGCTGTCTGCCTGGATACATGTCCCCCTATATTCTACATGAATGACACATCCCATAGGTAAGACATCCTTTCTCTCTTTTTTGATGCCTAACTGGATTGTTGCATTGTTATTTTCTATGTGTTTTCTTAGTATTTTTGTTAAATTGGTTGTTATAATCTAACAAGGCGATCACTTCAGGATAATTAGCTATGTCGAGAAATGGAATCGTTCCGAAGGAACACCTCAGGTTAGTTTTCCCTGCCATATTATTTGGGAATTTACTACACTTATTTAATAGCAGAACATGTGGATCAGTTTCTATAGAAAAATGGTCTCCAAGGGTTGCAAGATCCAAATGTGTACTGCTGTGCAACTAGATTTTGTGTAAAAGGTTGGTTATGGGTAAAGTTATCTTCTCTTGTGCACACATGCACAAGAGAGCGTTTCTGCAGACACAAGTGTGTGTAATAAATTTTATTTCTTGCTGCAAATTGGTGAGAAGTGTGACATACAGGGACGGAATTTAACCACCATGACCCCGTGCTTGAGTAGAAGTTAGTTTGAGACACCTTATTTAATAGAAATGATTTCAAATGTGGGATTAGAATCAGAAGGACCAGGTTTCTCTATCATGAAGCTCATAGCCAGATGAAAGGGGGTTTCCACCGAATATGATAACAAACCTGATTTTACTTTCTACCACATGCTGACTGTGAAAGAAGGAAGAAAGCAATAGAGATAATTCTCTGACACATAAAGTAGTAAGATCTATTATTTTCTGATGCACCTGCAATCCATGGCCATAGATGGCCTGAACTGAAACCCCATATTATGTCAATAGTCCTTGTGTCTACTGAATAAAAACGATGAAACAAATATGGTGAGTGTTTTATGTTTCAGAAAGGCAGAATAATTTTTATGCAGAATTCTGGCTATTTGCTTGCCCATCTTTCTACTCTTCCTACGTTAAACATTTGAAAATTTTGTGTTAATAATCAGTTGGTATAAAATTGAACCCTGCACTTGTATAAAATATATAGAATGCTATGAATCGCATGCAGTGTTAGCCGTCAATGTTATCAGCTGAAGGCAACTAAAACATTTTGATAAAAATACACTAGTGCATTGGTGTTCCTTGTCATTTATGCCCCTTTTTTGAAAAGCACAGAACTCTGGGTATTATACTTTAAATGTCTATCAAATTGCCACATGCGATATCATCATCTTATGCAAACGCTTGTTTCAAGCTTGCTAAACAATAGTAGATGGATTTCTCTTTTGAGTTAGGGGACTAGTTCCCTTACAAGTAGCATGTTAAAGAATGAATAGTTGTTATTTATAATATTGAGTGTATTTCCTTGAAAGAAATCACTTGCTCGTATGACATTCTCCTATGTCTGTAGCTGTTTTATCATTCAGATTTTTGTTTCAAGCCATTTAATGCCACAGGATGTCTTGATAGTATGCAAATACACACGATGAAATACACTCCGTTCACAAGTCACCTTGTGTCTGATTGACAATTGTAGTGCCTGATCTGTCATTGCATGTTTATTATTCTATAAATTATTGTTTGTTTGGGTGCAAATTACACAAACATATATGGTACAGACTCCTGACACCTGAAACCAAGTTGCCCAATTGCTTGATCTCCAAACTGTTTTGTGAGATATGGTGAAAATATCTGTGATGGTGCTTTTCTCTAGTTGCCTTGCGTTGATTTCTCAAAAAAAAGGTTGTCCAACTTTAAGAATTTCAACAGGTGGCTTATACTTTTGATGCGGGGCCAAATGCGGTACTAATTGCACGGAACAGAAAAGTTGCTGCCCAATTGCTTCAGAGGCTGCTTTTTTACTTTCCTCCGCAATCAGATTGTGATTTCAACAGGTACTTTGCATACAAATTTTATAGGGCTAGTTATACTTTACACCCCTAAATTGTACACTGATTATTACTTTAGTCCCTCAACTTTAAATTTTCTCCTTTCTGTCTTTTCAAATGTGTCAATATTGGACAAGAAGTGAGAGACTAGATTCGAACTTTAAATTGTCATTAAAAGTTTATATATTGAACCTAATGTCTATCTTTGTTCTGTTAAACGATGGAAACATGTATAAATGAATTAAGTGTAGAGTTACATAGGTTCCAATAATGGCATTCCCTTGGACGAGTTTCTATAATAGTTCTTGCCTTTTTCTTCTCTCCAGTTACCTTCTCGGTGATAGGTCGATACTACAAGATGTTGGGGTTCAGGACTTAAAGGATGTGGAAGCTTTGCCCCCACCACCAGAAATTAAGGATAACACTACTACAACCCAGAAATACAAGGGAGACGTTAGTTATTTTATCTGCACAAGGCCCGGGAGAGGTCCTGTTTTGCTACCTGATGAAAGTCATGCCCTTCTTTGCCCTGAAACTGGACTGCCCAAGTAAAGGAGGACTTTTTTTTTTCACCTTTTTGACAGGACTACTTTTGATGTGTTCCATTCCCAGGCTGGCGCAAAATTCTGAGCCTGAAGTATTGCACTCAGATGGTCTCTTAGTGCCGTAGATGGAACTGTCCAATAATTCTGTGTACTTTTTCTATCTTTGTAGTTTGATTTCCATTTCTCATGTATCTGCATTTTTCTGTTGTGCAATCACTGTTTATGTACTCAAATTTGGTTCATTGCAATGAATAAGTTGTCCTCTTAAACCAAGCGGCATTGCTTCTGAGTCTTGTGAATTTTCATTAATAAACTCTCCGAGTGCTATTTTCACAGGCTATCCAATCTGGGGTTTTGTTATAGATTGTTTGCATTGTGACCACTTTGATGCCATCATATCACGTTTGATGGTATCATATCATGTTTGAAGTTGGTTTTATCAGACTCCAACTCTGACCTTTATTAAATAATAATTTTATAAAAAATAAAAATTATATAATATATAAATTTAAAAACCCTATCATTTTTTGTTTCTAAAAACCATCTCTCCACTATCCAACTCACCCCCACCACTAGAGATGTTAATCGAATAGAGTCTTTTGAATTTGACTATGTTTATGTTCGATTCGTGTTATTCAACGATTGCTCAAAGCTCGCCTCGAGCTCACCTATCGAGCTCAAAATATTATTCAAGCTCGGCTCAAATAGAATTTGATTCGAGATTGAGCCAAAAACAAATCATTCAAAAAAAAAAATACAAATACCCAATCAAAAATTTTCTAAAAATACATGTAAATCTAAATTTTAACACAAATCTGACCACAAAATACTTCTAAATCAGAATAATATATACAAGTCTGTGTATATACTGATAGCAAATATCAATATATCTTAGATGAAGATTTTTTTAGGGTTTGAATTAGTAAAAGTTGTGGCTGTGAGCAAGGGGAGAGAGAACGAGATGATTTAGAATTGAAAGCTACCAAAATCATGGGAGGAGGAGAGAGAGGGTCTGTGACACTGTGAAGGAGATTGGAAGAGAGAAAAAAGGGTTAACAGCTCAAGGGTTTTATTATTAAAAGGAGAGAGGGAGAGAGAAGGGGGGGGGGGGGGGGGGGGGGGGGGGTATGATGATGAGTTTGGCATGACAGACTTGTAATGGATTGACAAAAATATGGAATGAACTATTTTTTTGCTTATTTTACTGATATAACCTTCAGATTTGTAATAATCTAGGGCTCGTTTGGTTATTAGAAATGAGTGGATTTTATATTGTCATCCAATCTAATATAATACAGATGGACAAAAGATAAAATTAAATAAGGTATTAGAATAATACATAATTTTATATAAAGTTTGATAATATACAACATAAATGTTGGATAGTAGTTATTAATCCAATCGGTTGTTTGGTTAGAGAATTATTTCATTGTATTAGTGTTGAATGAACAAAAATACCATCTATCAATATTTGTTATATTGATGACACTTTGATTTTATCAGTTGGGGGTTATAATAGTAAATGTGTAAAATAATGCGTTTGAGTTGGATTATAATACCACCTCTGTTGGTAGTATTAAAATATCTCTAGGTCTATCATATAAAAAACATATGATAAATATACAATTAATATACGTTTTTGAAGTTAATATGATATCAAATTTACTTACCAAATAAAGTATTAAGCCCGATTAAATAAAAAATTGTACAATGTAATATTTAATCCCCTTATAATATGTCTAGCAAACGAGCCCTATTTATTTATTATATTTGTAAGATCCCGTGTTAAAATTAACTAAATATAATATTACCTTAAGAGTTCTCCAAAGATGAATAAAATAATGATAGAAACTTAGAATAATTGTTAATATATTGATTATGAAATTTAAGTTTCAAGAGTATTTGATTTTCAGAATAAATTGAGTTTTAAATATGTTTAAGTATGAGAAGGGTGACTAAGTAATTTTATAAATATTTTTAGATCAAAATAAGGTTTCCATTGAATCAAGAATGTCGAAAAATAATAGAAGAAGTTATATGAGTTTTATTAAAAGTTTAGAAGTATTTTAGAGTCAAAACCTATTTTGGATAAGATTATGGTGAAAAGGAATTTGACATAACCTTAGTATTTTGGCTATAACTATTTACCCTAATGTCAGACTAACCTGAAATTTTTACAGTATAAACTAGATTTCAAGGGCTACAAAAGTGTATTTTCACGACAATTTCGTGAAACAGCCTCTAACTAGGTCAAAATTGAGTTAGAAGTCAGACACAGACTGCTACTTGTGCCCACTCGAAAATTCTCTATTTTTCAGCCTATAAATACCCTAGGGCCGTGATCTAAAGAGCCATTACCTAATCTTTAACCCCAATAAACCTAGAAAAGTTTGAGGACAAGAAAATGAGGAAGAACGAGATAATCTTGAAGGATTAACGTGGGGTAATTGTGATGAAACACATTAGGATTAAGATTCAAGAATTAAGGTAGGAGTTTCTTTCTAAACTTGTTCATTGAGGTCACTACAAAAATAAGGGCCTTTTGTGACAATTTTTTTACGACGGCTGTAATTGCCGTCACAAAAGACGTATTTAAGATAATTTTTTGTGGCGACTGTGTTTGTCGTAACAAAAAACGTGTTTGTGTTAATATTTGTGACAACTAATTTTTTCTACCGTAAATAGTGCATAAACTCAAAAGAAATTTTTGTATTTGAGACAACTGTTTTTCCTGTCTCAAATAATATTTTATAAATTCAAAAGAATTTTTTATATTTATGGCAGCTATTTTTCTCGTCGTATATAATATTTCATAAAGCATTAAAATGTTGTTTTAGATTAAAAAATATTTTACAGTTTAAAAAAGAAAAACTCAAAAAAAAAATTGTATTGGCTACAACTATTTTTTATGTTACAAGTAACATTTTATAAAATTACGTAATTTAACATCAAAAGACAATTTCTAGTTCAAAGAAAAAAAATTAAACTCTAAAAAGTCAAGTTTTTTTTATCAAAACTAGGGTGCCAAAATTTGACACGACCTGTTAACACGACATAAAATTAGTGGGTTTGAGTCTTTTTTAAGCCACTTGTTTAGTAAACGAGTGCACTCGTCACAATACGATCATAAACGAACCATGTATTAATGAAACCAATTAGAAGAAATATATAAGATATGACTCGTTTATATACTATTTATATAATTGGATAAGCCGTTCAGAGAAACATTGTGCGACCCTCTGTTAATGTATATTCTAACTTTTTTTTTTTTTGATCCAAACAGTCACATGAGTCACATTTCATTAAGTAGGAAAATTCGAATAACAATCAGTTTCAATAAAAGCCTTAAGCTCGGGAGGTGGATATCCAACCCATCCATGGGGAAGGGAGTTGTGCGTCGTAGCGGATGCCACCCAATGATCTGCTTGTAAATTGACTCTAGGGTTGTGTAAAAAAGAAATATTGTGTAATCTAGACATGTGCCTAATATCTTCCATCATTGTGTTGATTTCCCATGGGGGGACGTTCTCCGTAGTGCTCAACTTGATCGCATTAAGGCAGTCACTCAAGATTGTTGCGTTCCTAACTGAACAAGCGTCTACCATAAGATAGGCATGCCATATGGCAATTGCTTCCGCAACCAAACATGAGTTAGCAAAGAAATTTTTTGAGATTCCATCCATCAGGCCTCCCTTAGGATTGAACATAAGCACTGCACTTGCAGCTTCCTTGGTTTTCTTCTTAAATGCTCCATCACAGTAGATCAGGAACCCCGAACTTTGCTGTTACACCATCTCCTCATTACTAATAGGACTTGTCTGCTTCTCTGCACAATACATATCTTCCAAGATGAGAGATTCAGCCTATGATCCTTTCCCTTTTAGAACTATTGCATATACATTTAGGGGTACATAATTGCAAAATTTTCTGGTTACTTTCTATCCATATAAACCATCCCACTGTTGCTATCCTTCCCAGAATCTCATTTCTCCCTTGAGGCTCGTTAGCTGCTTCTAGAACTTGGGAGGTGTGTTGGGCGATTGACATAAACCCCACTTGGTTTACCATATTAGTCATATCCATACCAAACCACACTTCTCTAGTCCATTCACATTCAAAGAGGAGGTGTTCAACAGACTCGGGGGCACACATACAGATTTTACATTCTGGAGAAGGAGCACACTTTCTCTTGTAGAGATTCTCTTGGGTTGGTAGGATGTTGTGGCATGCTTTCCACCAGAAATGTTTCACCTTAGGCATTGTCTGCATGGTCCATATAGTCTACCACATCTTTGGATGGGGGGAGAAGGAGGAGCTTGTCTCACTTGTGCATGTGTCTCTGGTAATCCCTAGCTTGTACCCTGATTTCACCTTGTATTCCCCCTTCTGATCCGACCACCAAATCCTCGTATCCTTACCACCTTTTGCTGGGATTGGGATTGGGATAGACTGAATAGCACTTAATTCATCCCTTGAAACTTTGCCCTAGAGTGACTGGGTATCCCATTCAAATGATCTTTCTTTTATAGCATCAGCAACCTGGGTAATCAGACTGTTTGGCGGTCTTGGAGACTGTACTTTGTGTTCTGCTAACTAGGGATCCATTTGTCATCCCAAAAATTAACTTCTTTCCCATCCCTTATTTGCCACATCAATCCTTTGTCAAGGAGTTCTCTTCCATGCAGAAGGCTACACCAAATCCAAAATGGTGTGGCCCCTCGCTTAGCTTTAAGAAAATCCTCATCAGGGAAGTAAATGGATTTAATGAACCTTGCCCAGAATGCATCTGGTTGGCTAATGAGTCTCCAGCCTTGTTTTGCTAGTAACGCTTGGTTGAACTGATTAAACTCTTTAAATCCCAATCCTCCAACATCTTTCGGTTCTACCATCTTCTTTATTGTATATATGTATATAAATATTATTTTAGTATTGTAACAATAATTTTATGTTTTTTTTCAGATGTTATTGAGAGAGTAGATGGTTCGGAAAGGATGTTCAACTTTTTGCATTAATTTCTTATACTCATAGATCGTTATGTTTTATAAAAGTGCGCATTTTACATTTTGTTTAACTCCTGAGATTGTTTTTTTTTATATGAAAATATTGTTATGTTTTTGAAAATGTTGATTATATTTACTTTTGTGTTTATCTATATATTAATTTGGGTAGTTGTATGGATACGAATGAGTCATTGGTCTAATGATACTCTTTACATTGTGAAAGTTTTGTCTTCTTAAGGTCAAGGATTCAAGTCCCCTTCCCCCCTTTCCCACCCAAAAAAAAATAAAATTGTATGGAGTGTATATATATGCACATGATATATAATATTAGTTACGAATGATCTATAATAATTAATTTTTTTTTTGTGGCGGCCTCGTTGCCGTCATAAATATGTCTTCTATTTTTTACGACAGCCAAATATGATATTTGAGGTAGCATTTTTGTTGCCGTGATAAAAACAAAAGTGTTAGATTTTTTGTGACAACTTATTTACGATAGGATCTTGCTGATGTAAATATTATTTGAGACAGATCGTTGCTGCCGTAAAAATTTTTTGAGGCTACACTTATTATGGCGAGACAATGCCACCACAATGCTGCCACAAAAAGTATTTGTGACGGCCAATAAACTTTTTATAACAACATTTTACTGCCGTAAAAACTCTTTTTTCTTGTAGTGGGTTAGAGTTTATATATATGTATGTTTTGATTCTAAATTATATATATATATATATATATATATATATATATATATATATATATATATATATATATATATATATATATATATATATATATATGTTATGAAACCATTGTTTTTTGATTTTCTTACAAATCATATCATGTCTTGAATAAAGTTATCGTTTGATAGTCACAAAGGTTTTCGTTCTTGCTATCAAAATCCTAGTTTTCAAGAAATATAGATTTTAATCTTGATATTCCATCGTTTTTGATTTAAAAGCTCTAGTGTTTTATTTAAACAATAAAATTATATTTATTGACGATCTCTTGCATATTTTCTTGAGTTGTTATGTTGAAAAAATACTTGTGGAATTATGGTTCTTGGTTACCTGTGGAATTATGGTTCTTGATTTACCTGTGATTTGGTGAATTAGTTTGATATTTTATCTCTTGTGTGGATGTTGTGATGAACATGAGTGACCGTTGATCGAGTATTGTAGAAAGGATAGATGTGTTTCTTACTCTTAGTGGGTTTGAAGGTTCTCTACCACTGGTAGTGTGGTTGGTGCCTTGCGAGGACCAAATCACTATTCGCTCATGGGTATCGAGCCTGAGGGCTAGTATACTATTCCTGGATTAGATTCGTCACTGCCGATGCGTCGATATATGTTATTCCTAAAGTTGTGTATTCTTCCGAGGATTTGGTATGTGTGTGTGGGTCAGAATATTCTCAATGTGTGTATTCATGCCCAGTCTTACTATATATCTGAGATACAATGTTGGTAATGAGAAGCTTCGATGGATGAAAACGTGGTAATGTTGGGTTTACTTCATTTAATTTATAAAAAAAAAAATTTATAATGATGTCGTGTTATTTGGTTGAATTGTGGTGGTGATGATATATTTTGGGGCTCTCGGGAAGGAAATGGTGGTATCCAGAAGGTTTTGTGTTGGGCTTGGAATGGGCAACCTAATGTTATTTTCTTGTTTGTTAATAAACATTTTTGTATGTATGTGAATTTTCATGTTTAAAGGAGTTAGCATATATAATTTTTTAATTAGTGAATCGAAATTTTTTATTGGCTTCCAGCGGCAAATATGAAGTTAAGATTACTATTATGCTGTCACGCTTGTGGGTAAATGGCTGTATTGACGCTGGACTGTGGCATGATGTGAGTCCGGTAATTGGTTTGAATCATATTTTCTTGAAGCATGCCCGTACCAAATTACCAGCCTTTAAATTCTACGACCCTGTTTCCAAAAATTTTTTTTGCTAGAATTTTCTTTTTTCTCTAACTCTTGTGTGTATAACATAGTGCATCAAAAGCTCTTTGCCCAATGTTTGTTTCTCTGCTAAACACAGTTGACCACCATATTAGTTGGTTACTCTTTTTAGTTGGGAGAATATTAATTAAAATATTAATGAAGAATTGTTAGATTGCCTATGAATGTGCTTTAGTTTTCAATTTGAAAATTTTGGTTGATTACAAAATTATAGATTTTTTGATTTGTTTGGTTTAAATTTGGAACTGTAGTTTTTGTTGTAACTTTTAAAAGGTTAAAGGCACAATAAGTTGGCTATCGTGGTGTGCTTAGGTTAGAGAATGGGGCATTGATAATAACAATCATTACGGCTTTGCTAGTGTATGCAAGTGTATTGCATAATTATGGTTAATTATTACCGTTAATGGTTAGTTTTATCATGCTGTTGTGCTAGTATGTAAACAGTTATGTTTAGGCAAATTTATGGCGTGACAGTGAGTCCTGTAATAGGTTATGGTATAATTATGAGGTATATAAATTTTTAAGATAATATTTCTTTGAGTTTTTATTTTTTCAAAAATTTTGCCATAATTTTTTGAAAAAAATGGTAGAGTCTAGATTGGTTTCAATTTCTCTAACTAAAATAAAAGAAGGAAAAATATTACAAATTGATTACTTTTTTTTTTTCGTTACACAATGCCTCTGGACATGAGTGATCACTATTTTGAGGCCTTTTATGGTATAGAACCTAAAAATTTGGAGCCTTTTTTAAGTTGACACAAAAGGAACAGAAGATAGGAGAGAGATAAGCGAGGTAATAAAGATAACTGTTATTCTTGTCATTTAAAATATAAAAATTGACAACTATGAACCACATTTCACATATTATACACACATCCTTAATGACTTATAATTGACAAAAAAGATTGGTAGAATATACTAACTTTTAATTTTCACACATTTTGGTTAGGGCCTAAAGTAGCCTTGTTCTTGAGTCATTGGGAGGAATATCAAGTAACATTTTCTGGCACATTGTGGTACCCTGGAAATTGAGGAAAGTGAAGTCAAGAAAGCTTAATTTCTCGGCCTCTGTCATCTTTGAAAACCCGAATGAACTTGTCCAAGTGTTCAGCACACTGGGAATTGCAGGCAGAACCAGCCTCTCCACACCCAAGCCCTTGAGTTTCTTCTCAAGTTCATCCATTAGAATTTGACACATTCCAAGTCTGCGGTATTGAAACCGTGTGGCAACAAGTGGTACTTCTGCAACCTTTTCTCCAAGCACCCTTACAGTAGCCACAGTAATCAGTTCATCATTTCTCTCCAAAACCACTGTATAGAACCCTCGAAAGTTCAAACGATTCAGCTCTGACCCTGTACTGAAAACTACATCTTCGACGAGATCCCTCCTGGTTAGAGGCTCCTTGACAGGCCAGAAGCACTCGTGTATCACCCCAAGAGCAACGTTTAGTTTGCTGTAATTCTCCACTGAGGCCTCAGCATCAGTGGCACTATGATCACAACCATCAGACTTTACATATTTGAGTAAAGTCCAAGTTAGATTATCTGACCCAACTGGAATTGGTTTCCCCAAAAGCCTTTGCAACTCCAAAAATATCTTTTCACATTTTTCAGTACAAAACCAATTTTCTTTGTCAGTACAATCCACCTTTATAAGACCCTTTTTTCTTAGGCACCCAATGTGATATTGATGTTCACACTGATCACAATTGAGACCACTATTATCTGTAAACCGTTTGGGGTCCTTATTGAATCTGCTTTGGCCACAAATTCCACAGCAGCATGGTGGGCAGAACCAGTCTCCATCAGGAACATCCTTCAAGCCAAGGCAAATTGTGTGAAACGCGGATGGACATTGATCACATAAAATCAAATCACCGCCTTCGTGACAGACAGAACATATATAATCGTTTGAGATGTCATGCCGAGTACCCTTCATCCCACGGGGTTCTGTCCTCACGCTTCTCTGATTATTATTGCGTTTCAACTGCAATTGGCATTGCAGCAGTGACCTGCCATCCTCCAAAAAAATATTGGCTGAAGGTCTGTGATTAGTACCACCAGCATGAGCTTCAAACTTACTGAGAGTAAAAACTTTTTGACAGCAACTGCACTTGATCCCATCACGAGTAATTCGCCCTTTTGCCATTGGACAACCATCCTTTCTGCCACGATAACATACTTTGGCCCGGGGAAAAACCACATTATTGTCTATTAACCATGACAATACAGTTCTAGGGGTGTGGTGGTGAGAGGAAGAAGGAATAGCCACCTCCCGTGCTCTTTTTCTTGATTGCACCACACAAGCAGAAAAATCACCATCCATATTGTTCCTTTGTTTGATCAAAGCTCTACAATCCTTTCCTTTCCTCTTCAGTGTTGAATCAGCATTTGTGATTGTTTGTTTGGAGGGGGATGCAGAATCTAGTACATCAAATTTTCTCCTTTTTTTGAGTTTTTGAATCCCTTTGCCGTTACAAAGTTCACCAAGTTCCATTGACAGTCGTTTACAAGAAGAACCTGTTGCCTGCTTCTCCGGGATTGCATTCCCTGATACAGAACTTCCCTCAATTTCCATTAGTGGAGGCGATGAACCCTCAACAGCTACCAAACTTCCCTGAATTTGCATCCGTAGAGTCGATGACACCTCAACAGCCACCAAACTTCCCTCGATTTCTGTTTGTGGAATCGATGATCCCTCAACAGCTAACTGGCCCTTACCTTCCTTGCTGACATTAATATTTTGTCTTCTTTCAGAATTATGAACCTTAGTATCAGAACTAGAGTGTCCCCCTTCATCTATACAGAATTTGCAGGCTGTTCTAAGAGAATAAAACACTCTTCCACTCGGACAACAATACCTCAATTCCCTGCCGCCTCTCTTCCTGACATAATGTAACGACCACCCCATAGCTAACAAGTGCTTCTTTGCTTTCAATGTCATACCCCCAAGCTTAACATCTCTTTTCACCACACGACCGCCATTATTGTCCTCTGATCCTTCCAAATAATACTCCTCTACAGCCTGAGGGCAGTACTCAGGCTCAACCACAACAGCATTTAAATGAGAAACCATATTGGCCTTGGGTGCCTCCTTGCATAGTAATGGATTTTTAGTACTTAGTGGCGATGAGACCCGACCACCACGAGAAGGAACATCACTGCTTTGTTCATCCTGAGAAATCGGAGCTGAACCAGGATCCCTCAAATCGAGACAGAGCTGGCGAAGTGAATGGTAACACTTCCCATCATGTGAAATATATCGTAGTTTTGGCTTGTCATTCTCTCTCACAAACTCAATTTTCCAGCCCAGATATGAAAGATGTTTCCTAGCCTTCAATGCCAAGATACTTGAAGGCATCTCCAACTTAGACTTATTAGTGTATTCAGTGATTGCTTCAGGGCAAAACTCAGCTTCAGGAACCAAATCAGGGCCAGCAGGAAGCCATTCGAGTCTTTTTCGTTTTGTCGAATGTTTGATCATCCTAGTCGGTTTTTTCGATTTGATTCGAGAAAACCCTTCACTGTTTTCATTAGAACTAATCCTGGAATGTTCGTCAGTAGGACAAGAATCACTAATACATGACTCAGGCTTCAATGTAGAATCTAGAACAGAGCCCGAAAACTCCATTAATGATTGGCCTTTTCGTTCCAAATCTCCCCAAGATTTTAACTTCTGATAAAATCTATTATAATGACCTGTAAAACCAAGTTCTTCCAAGTTTTCCTTACAGAACAAGTCCCTTCCAGATTCGGAAAACAGTCGTTTATCCAAACTTGGGACTAAATTTTATTTACAGAAACAATAACAGTCCATTCTTGATCAACTTCCTCAATCATCTCAAGAAACAACCAATTCCCTCGAGGCCTCTAATCTCGAGTACCCACGTCCCAATCTTGGGTAATCCTAATAGACTAATATTATTTAGATTTAAAAATTTGACCTAATTTGGAGACATAATAACGTGGCTTTAATAAAATTATTAGATCAATACCAAATTTTAATATTTGATGGGCTTCATAGTCGATCCAAAAGTTATAGTGAATTAAGTCAGTCAATTAAGTTCCAATAGCATTGCTCATCCTAATAATATCAATATTAGCGTTCGGTTCATGGCTCAACAGCAAGCCGACTCAAGGCAATTTAAGGCTTAAATCAATGAAGGGGTTTTTTAATTTTTAATATTAATTTTTTGAAAAAATTAATTTATTTTTAATTTTAATTTTTAAAAAAAATTAATTTATTATGTGAAAGAAATACGTGCTAGTGTTTCAGAGAAAAATATTTTGACTTTAATTTTTTTTTTAATTGGAGAGAGAGTGTTTATTTTTAAAAAATTTTTTTACTTATTTTTATATAGAGAGAATGTGTAAGAATAAATATGAGTTGACTTTTAAGTATTATTTATTTTTTTAAGTTTTTAATGTTATGAATTGGATTATGGATTCAAATTATTATAATAAAAATTTTGACTATACTTAATTTTTTGGGGCCTTTTTTTTAAGGTTTAAAATTTAAAGAATTTAAATATTTTTTGGGTTAATAATGTACCTAAAATTATGAGACATTTTAAAAATTTGGGGCCTAAGGCTTAAGCTTTTTTTTTTTTGGTTTAATGCTCTTGAGCCTCCCCTGCTCAACAGTAGAGGCTTGAGGCTCCCCCACATAAAAAAGGCCCCAAATAAATCAAAGATTAAAACTTACTGTAAAATTAAACATTTTATTATGACAATACTTTATAATGGTCCACACATTATTTTTGACAAATTGTTACGAGACTCAAAGACTCGTCAATGAAGCACAAGTAGAGACTATAATTGTTATGAAATGGATAAACACTCTCATCCTTTGAATGGAATCATTTGAGGGAATTATTGATCTGACGGTCCTAATGCGAAATTCCCCTCTCCCCCCCCCACCCCACCCCACCCCACCCCATTTTTTGGAAAGACTTTCATTCCTTGAAGAATTATATCTATCTCTTTCTCTCACTCTCATTCATTTCACAATTTTAGAACTCATATCTCTCTCTCTCAGTCTCATACTATCTGTCACACATCTCTCTCAGTCAGCTCTTTCTCCCTCTCACATACTATAACGATCGGTGTAAAAATTAATCTCTAATACATTAATGAGGTCGTTAATTATGGTTCTATATAATTAAGGATTTTTTTAAAAATTTTAAATAAATAAATAGACTTTAAATACATATTTTTTGCGTGAAAATGAGTTGAGTGACTATAATATAAATCATACTTCGTATAGAAATAAAAATACTATAATATTCAAATGGTATAATAGACGAATAATATATATATATATATATATATATATATATATATATATATATATATATATATATGTGATATATCTATATAATAAGAGAGTTATCATTATTTGTCTTGAACTTTTTATAGTTCAAATTGTTTTAAGATTATTGATCAAACAATTGAAACTCCTAATCTAAATTTTTTTCATGCCCAAAAATTGCAAGAATCCTTTCATTTACTTGATAATCGATTTGAAGTGAATATGATTAAGATTCAAATTGAGATGGATTTGATTGTCAATTATAAACTATATATTATTTCTTAAACTTAACTTTGCTTGAATTTTATGAAAATTCAAATTGAAGTCAATTTGAAATTGATTGTAAAAATAATAAAGAATAATTCAATTAAAAAAATATCACTACAAGAATTAAGCTTATTAGTGGCGATAGTATTAGTGACGAAACTTATATCGTCACTAAAATTTAATGTTTAGTGACGAAAATAAATATTGGCTACTAATCCAAAATATTTAGAAAAAAGCTAAAAAAATTGTCACTTATTTCATAAAATAGAGTGTTACTATTGACAACATTAGTTTTGTCACTAAAATTTGAGGCGGAACATATTTGGCGCCAAAAAAAATGGTGGGAAGTACTTTTGTGGCAATTAATTTAATGTCGTCACTAAATAATAAATCAAATGATAACTCTTTAGTCACGACTTATCCACTAGTCACTATTTTTATGAACCAAGGTGGTATTAGTGACAAAATTTAAATTGTTGTTAATAATCTGATCACTAATTTGGGAGCGGGAATTTTTTAGCGCAAAAATATGTTGGAGAGAAGGATTTAAACGACAATTATTTTAATGTTGTCGCTAAATAAACAATCTTGGCTGAACTATTTAGTGATGACTTAGCCATGAGTCACTATTTGGTATGAATCAAGGTGCTATTAGTGATGAATTCAAACTTATCACTTATAATTTTATCATTAATTTTGAGGCGAAAATTTTTTGATGCTAAAATGTGTTGGAGGGAAGCATTTTATCAATGAGTTTTTAACGTCATCACTAAATAATCATTCTAACACCAATTATTTAGTGACAATCTAACCACATGTCACTTTTTGCATAAACCAATGAGGTACTAGTGATAAATATACCTTTGTCAATAATTTTTTTGTCACTGATATTTATGAACTATGAGGTACTAGTGACAAATTTAAGTGTCACTTATAACAGTGTCAATCAAAATTATCAGATTCGGATCGGGCCGCTTGGTCGGATTGGTGAACCGGGTCTTTCAACGGTATAAATCACTAAAAAGATCGTTGGTATAATCAAATTGTTGAAAAATCAGATAATCGGTTGATTTTTGACCAAAACCAGTGAATTGAAAACTCTTAAAATCGCTAGTTCAAAACTTAAACCAACTCACATCCACTATCCCTTTTTGACGCTTGGAGGACAATTTCTGGCATCATCAACATTATTATATGGCCCTTGACCCTCCATGTACTTAAACTAAGGATGCAAATAAGTTAGGCTTATAAATAATCAAATTGAGATCCATATTTGACCTGAATACAAAATTGTATATGAATTCACATTTAGTTAATTGAATATAGATTGAAGTTATTTTAGACTAGTTGAATTCGAATACGAATCATTTATAATGCATACGATAGATTCAAATTTTGATATATCGAAACCTAGTTTGGTCAAATAATTTGAACCCATTATAATTGATTAAATTGAATCCAAATATGAATATGCTATTAATTAAATAATTTTGATCTAACTAAATTTCAATTTTTAAAGATTACATATATAGACATTGAAAATGAAATACACCGGGTAATGGAATCGGGTTTTTAAATTGGATTTGTATTATGGATAATCGAACATGCTTATTAGCAGGATAATCAATTGGGCATTGGTACTAAATGATCATAAATTAATCCAAATTTGTCATCTCGTATGTTGGGTGCCAAAATATGATACGATCCGTTATATATGACATGAACACAATACAAAATTATATGGTTTGAGCCTTTCGTAAGTCATCCATTTCATAAACTTGTGGACATGATATGATTACAAACCAAATCAGGTATGAGTGAAGTTAATCAAAAAAAATATATAGTACGACTCGCTTATACTCTGATTATACATGATTCATATAAGAAACAAACTCTATATGTCACATTTCGTTAAACACGAATTAATAACAAATCAGTTATGTGTGGATTATTTTGAGATACAAACTCGTTAAGACTTGATATGAACTCGTCTTACTCGACACAATTGACAGGCTTACTGTTATGTACTATTTATATTTGTCAATTAATTTTAATAAAAATGTGTTATAATTGATATGTGAAAGTCTAAGATTGTTAGCTAGATTAAATATTAATTTTGTCCTAACTAAAAATTTAATCTATAACAACTATATTATTATATTATATTATATTATAACACCACTTTAACTAGGCCGGCATTTTTTTTCTTTTTTTTGAGGTAAAGGACGGTGAATAAGCTTGAAGAAATCTTATCATTCACTCACTTATCTTCTCAATCTATCTGTTCTCATCCTACCTTGTCACAAATTCTTGTAGAATTTTACTATGACTGTTCTTCACATCCTCTATCGATATGTTTCTCTAGCTCTCTCAATCTCTATACCTTATCTCTCTCTCTCTCTCTCTCTCTATATATATATATATATACTTTATCTCTATATTTCTCTCTGCAATTACAAGGGTTACGATTTCATTGCATCTGATTATAGGTATTTCTTTATTTTTCATGCCTTAATAATTGAATTTGAGTCCGTAGCATGAAATTTTTTTCTCGTCATTCAATTAATTTTATGGATTGCTAGTGTTTGTCTCTCTTTCATATTTTTATGCTTCTTTGACATTCCCAATGATTTTAACATGTTATATTTTGTGTTGTATGTTGTGAACTGAATCTCTGTTTGGCTTATTCCTTCCATGACTATTGATGGGTGAAACTAGGGCGTTGCTCCTCTATTGTTGGAGGAAAACAACATAGTGTGCTGTTAGGACACTGTGTCGTTTATCCTAACAACACACTGTGTTGTTTTCCTCCCAACAGTAGAGAAGCCATGCTCGTGAAAGCATGGTTCGCTGATACAATTATGATTTTTGTGCATTTTGTCATTGATTTAAATTTTTATGAGTTTTTTTGGTTCTAAATTCGTAAATCAAAATTTAAATTGTTTGTAATTGGCCGACAATTGATAGCTAATTTTTTAATATTGATGATTTACTTGTTTCAATTAAATTCTAGAAGTATTATTACACTTACTTCTTGAATTCTACTTTAAATAACTTTGCGATTTTAATATAAAATATAAATATATGAAGCACAGACACATAGTACAGTGCCCAACACTCTAAATATATCAAATTTCTTGATCCTAAATTCACTTCAAAACCTTTGGTGCCACATGAAAAAATTCAAAGAAGTGGAAGGGAACAAAATCAACAAATCCATGAAAGCCGAGAAACCCAAATCAAATCAAACTCCCATCACCAATCTTAAATCTGATAAAACAACAACCTATCACACTCTTCAAGTATGAAGATCTTTTGCAAAAATTTATATCATTTAACAACTTAAGCAAACAAAAACATCCAGAAGTTAACAAAATACGACTGAAAACTCAACACACTACAACAAAATCGCATTGATAAAGTTGCAGGAACAACAACGGAAGATCTTAGCTTTAAAATTTTTAAAAAGGGACTATTGATTAACTGATAGACTTCTTAGGACTAATACGGTAAAACTCAAATTCTTGCCATGCTAAACACTTACTGCTCATACAAATCCATCTAAAACCTTGCATTGATTGACTTCATTTCAAGAATAGGCTTCTGGTAAAAACTTTCATAGTATAAATACACAACAATTCTCTTCATGCTGTTATCATCTAACCAAATCAAGCTCATCACTCACTAATATTCCAAAAGGTACCAGCTCATAGCTAAAGAAATTAGTAAAAAAGCAGAAATCAAACTCCTAGTAATTACAGGGAAAAATTATTTGTAGTAACAAAGTATTCATGTGTCCACTAACTACACAACTAAGATGTTATTTCAGTTCAAATGTTCAGAATCTAAAACCTGCTAGTATTTTGACAACCTAAAAATTGGTGGATTCACTTTTTGAATTGAGGGAGTTCCCCTAATTTTTTTCACTAAGATTCTTGAAAGGACCTACAGCCAGACAACCCAATGGCATCTGTTAGGGAAACATTAACTTGATGGACACAGATCACATACTAACCTCAAGAAACTAAGAAAACAATTGTACTATCACAACAAAGATTAATAAAAATTGGGTTTGTCAAAACACTTGGAGGCACATGTAGTGAACATCTACGCAAAATTGGAAAAAAATAATCAAAATCAAAATCTAGCACAAACAACTACAAAAAAGATTACAACAAAAATAATCAGCATCACGCGTAATACCCCTCTCTCTCTTTCTCTCTCTCTCTCTCTCTCTTAACGATCCCAAGCTTTGCAAATTCAACTAATTGAACAAATAATGCTTTTTTAGGTGCCTACTTTTGGCTGCCTCCTTCCTCTCGTTAGCCTCCTTCTCATGTATACATCTTAAGCTGCATACAATTTGCCTTGAAAATGTATGAAGTATCCTTTTCTCATGATGTCCATGATTATTCCAGGACCAAATTCTCTAGGAAATGACATTGACGTATTTCTACAATCGTTAATTGATGAGTTAAGAGAATTATGGGAAGATATGACTTTGAAACATATGATGGTTACACTTAACAGAAATTTTGCTTGCGTGCAACACTCTTATGGTAGGATTGAAATCATGTACCAACATTGTTCACACTTTATCTTCAGAGTCATCCTCAACGAGGAGGAAACAGGGACCAACCTGAAATATTGTTCTTGCAAAAAAACAAAAAAGCAAGCTGGCGAGAAGCTTAATGTTGAGATGTCATAAGTGCTTGGGCGAATAGTAAGATTGGAATTCCAACCACTTATAACAGAGTTGAGATGTATTGTTTGAAAGCATGCACCTCTTCAAGTGACAAAATGGGCAGAGATTGACAAAGTCGATCGGGAGAGTTTACTACAAATGGCCAAGGTAAGTGCTTTTCCAAGTACTCAAACATTTCAACTAGACTATGTATTTTAATGTAATGAGACAAAGGGTAAATGTAACAAATTCTACATGAGAATTGCATGTAACCAAAAAGGTCATTGGGCATAAGATATGATGGTTGTTTAGTCTAAAGGAGTATATTGAGCTGAATAGAGGTTGGAAATTTTGCAAGTATGAGAAAATAAACAAGAAAATAAGGGGAGGAATAGGAAACAAAAGTACTTATTTTTTATTTTGTAATTCAATTGTTGTTACCTTTCTTTCTCATAGTGCCTTTGTTGTTAATAATGTAAATAATTCACTATTTTTTGTAAGAATTGTTCAACCTCCATGATGAATAGGTTAAAGATATAACATTTGCCCAAATGAACACACAATATCGGAATCATTGCCATAACCTACACAAGAACTACTTCTTGCCACACCCAACGACAGGAGCAGCAATGCAACATCCACCACCAGGCATGCCACAAGAAGATCAGAATTATCTTTGTTCTTACTTTTCCTCTTATGAATTTAAGGTTTTTGAACTTACTATAGATACTAAAAAAAATCAATTTTACCTTTATTCATTTAAAATATTTATAATGTAAGATACTTGTTATATTTTAATGTAGAAAAGGAGTGTTCAAAATGCAAGGAATCGGGCAATGCAAAACACACCTCATGTAAATGGGACAAAGTCTTTTGCCTGGATGGGTGTTGAAATGGTAGCAACATAATTTTTAGTTATAGAGTGTATCATATGCGTAGTGATATGCTTTAAAAGCTAATTCACATATTTGAAATGATGTAGACTGCTCAAACTGGTGAAGAGGTTGAGCCAATTGAGTTATATAAGATAACTCACTATAGTAATAAGAACCACTCTTGGGTGAATGACCGTGCACATCATAACTATGTAAGTTATCAATTTGGTTAAAATTTTCGTTTATCATCATATTAATTGAACTAATGTAATTTAAAATTTATATGTCTTGCCATTTTAGGAGCAAATGGTGGAGCTTCAGTCGCAGCCTGTAGGAGAGAATGAAGCACCAGTTTGTGAGGAGGAAATTTGTTTAGAGGTTCTTGGACATAAGTCAGGGTACATACGTGGTTGTGGGCATGGTCCGAAGCCTAGCCGATCCTTATCTAAGCACCACAATAATTCGGAGTTGGAGGTAGCTAACAAAAGAGCCAATGAGTTGGAAGAAAAACTCAATGCACAGCAAAAGAACATGGAAGTGATTAAGGCTACTCAAAAGGCAACAAGTGAGATTTTGTAGGCACTGATGGAGCAGATGCAAGGAACAACTCAAAATACGACAAATGTGATTTTGCAAGCATTGATGAAGCAGATGCAGGATGACAGGTACATGTCTGCTCCTGCACCTGACCCTCTTTCATGGTAGGTGGAATACTTGATTAATGAAAGCTTACTTTTGATTTTTTTCCTTTTTTTAAAGGTTTCACAAACTTTATTTTGTTGCATGATAGATGGAAGCAATATGAGGCTCAACCAGGGCAATTACAATTTAGGTAAGTGTTATCATTTTTACTTTTGTAGGATAAATTTAAGGGTGCACAATAATTCCATTTGAAGTATTACAACTTATGAACAAGTTCTTAATTCTTGATTCTACTTGCAATTATGAAATGACTCTGGGGCTTTATAGAAGAAATTGTGCAGTATACTTGCTGATATTATGGTGTTTTGATATATTAATTAAAGATTAATATTGTGATTGACTTGACACTCAATGACAACATAGATCCATTAAATTAGTTTTTCCTGGTTGTTAAGATTTGATGATAAGACAATAATATGACAGTTGAATTTTTTGACTTTAAGTTTGAGTTAACTATTATTGATTAGATATTAAGCTCATTCTCATATTTGGAAGATTAACTTTTATTTAGTTGATGCAATCATTTTGAGCAAAACATTTATGTTTGTCAAGTACATGATGGTCTTTTTTCATAGGATTCATACTTTTTTGTGATTTACTCTGTTTTCTTTTAATCATATATGTACGATTGTACTTGTGGACAATATGAAGTAGCTGATGTAATGAGCCTCATAATATATATATTAGAAATTGTGTATTCTTTAATGATGGTCATCTATAGTCTTTTGTGTTAAATCTCCCTTAACAATGTTAAAAGTGTTACAATACATTTTTATGATGGCATTTTTTCCCAAGCTTTTACTATTTTATGTGATTTAAAATTAAAGAGTTGTGACAGCTATTATGGTGTTTAATTTTTGTCAGGGTGGTTGTCTTTGCAACATCTTTATGAGAATAGAAGACCGTGTTCAAAGGATCAGAATTAATCCGAAAACATGGAGTATATTTTTTGTCCGTCATGAAGTTTGCTTTAGATCTTCTCATGGTTATGAAAGGAACAAAGACCAACAGTTTATTGTTAATTTTTTTATTTTGTTGCTTGAGCAAAAATTTTTTTATTGCTCTTTTTTTTGAAGTATTCGTCGGATTGTTTAAAATTTTATGATAATTCCATAAGTTTTTGATTTTATAATTAAACTATGATTGAATTTTGATTTGTTTTGAATGATATTGAAAGATTATGATATTTTAATTACAGGTCAATTTTATACAGGATTTATGAAAGTTGTTACGAATTATTATGTAAGTGACAACCACTACAGTCGTCACTATCGAGTTTTTTAGTGACTGATATAAAATTTGTCACAAAATACTTTAAAATTTTATAGTGACAATAGAAAATATGGTTACTGAATAAGTCTTTAGTAACGATTATAAAACTAGCCATTAAAAGTAAACAAAAATTGTTAGTGACAATCAAAACATTGTTACTAAAATCGACAATTTAGTGGCAATAAAACTTTATCCTAATTAGGGACGATAGTTTGAAATTGTAACTAAACATATTAGTGACAAGAAAAATTTGCGTCATTAATGATTGACGTATACTAATTAGTGTCAATATATTTCGACACTAAAATATTTTTTTTGGGTAGTTTTAAGTGATGAAAACATACATTTTAGTGATAAAAGTTTAAAATATTAGTGGCGATAAATTTTGTCGCCATTGAGAATGATTCAGTGATGATATAGAATCGTCACTAAAGGTCTAGATTATTTGTGACAACTTGTGTAGCTTGTCACTATTAACTTTTAGTGACACATCTATGGTGACAACCTAGTGACATTTTTTTTTCACCACTAAATAATTTTGTGACAAATTTAATAGTTTTAGTGACGACTTTTCCTGCCACTAAAGTTACTGTTATTGTTGTGTATTATGGTGTCACTGTTAACTAGAATAGATAAGAATTAGTTTGTAGGTTTAAGATGAAAATGTTAATTAAGTTGAAAACTGATCTTCATTTCTTAACAAATTTTTTTATATTTACGAGAATTAATGTGAAACTTTTGGATGATTTTCTCACAAAAGTTACACGGACTCACATTGGAAAAAATAGTGCAGAGATAATGTTATGAACTTTAGATAGAAACCAACAAAAAAAAAATAGTTATATTTTTTTGCAATTTGAGATAAATTTTATTAAAAATATTGAAATAGTGGATGTTTGATCAATAATAATTATATTTTCTATGATTTTTTGAATCAATATGACCTTAAGAAGACAAAGTCTGCACAAAGTATCATTGAACTAAAGACCCATTGGTCACAACTCTCTATAAAACGTATAATAATAGTTTTAAAAAATTTATTATTTTCTTAAAATATTAAATGAGGTCTTATATAAAATTCTCACTTTAGACCCCAATTTATGTTGGACTGCCCTTGCACCCGTATCTGGATTTCCTCGTGCCTTTCCACCACAAATTTTGGTGAAAAACATCAACACACCGTGCATAGTGAATAAACCATTTAGAAAAGTTAAGGCGCGGCGGCGGCAACAGACAGTATCATGCCGCAAGAACCAGGTGGAGGGCCATCGGAAAACACCCCAAGGCTTCCATTCACACATTCACTCAGATTCGCCGCCATTGAAGAGAGACTTCACATAAGTCTTTATCTTTTCTAATCTGCATGGAATTGTAGAAGCTTTTATAGTTTTATAAGTAATATATAAGAACATAAATACCGGTCTTAGGTTAGTTCGTATCATATATAATTTGCATTTAATTTATATTTAGCAGGTTTATTAGAGTTCGTGTTCATCCACTTATTCAATGAATATTGTTAATTTAGTGTCGAATCCTCGTATTTAAAATTGTCAAGCCTAACTTTAACTAATATTTTTGTTAGGCTTTTCCATTATAGTGATTTGATGGCGATCAATTGTATTTTGGATACTAGATTTATTATTTTAATTGCTTACATCTACTATAATGGCGACGAATGACAATATTAGTTGAACTCTTCACACGTCATGCTGGGCATTAATAATTGTTTCTTAAGGTAAAATGTGAGGTTTAATATACAAGATCATGCATAATGTATTAGTTATGCTATTATATTAGAAATATTAGTAATGACAAAAAAAAAAAAAAATAGAAATAATAGTGTAATAATCGTAATCCATATAGGGTTATACAAGCTTTTAGGATGGTTGTATAAGTAGAAACTAGCCGTAGTAGTGTCTAAAAAGGATTTCATTGTGGCCGCAGACTATGCAACTAGCTATCTATTTAATATTAGTTGGAAAGTTTTTTTTTTTTTTTTTTGTTTGTCAGAATATCATATTTATATTAGAAAAACTAGTTTCTATACTTTAACCTATTCTAACTCTAATGTATATATATACTAGTGGGCACTGCTTGCGATGCATGAAATATATTGTCTCTTCCTATTATCACCTTACCATCAAACACTTCATAACCATAATATCACTGGACAATTTCTATTAGTATTGAAATGATATTCATTTACATCGTAAATAATTAAGAAAGATGATCGGAAGTTTAGATTTTGAAGTAGTTTAAAAAATATGGTGGGAATGGTTACAAATGACACATGTAGGATATTTTTGGTTCGTGGGTGTAGGTAGTAGAGTAGGTTTTGTTAAAATAGTCCAATGCATCACCTTATTATTTGTTTGATTGCAGATTTCAAATTCGGGATTTGAATTACGACCCGTAATAGGATAAAATCCAATGGATTATCTAATCAGATCCGGATTGGACTTTCAAAGTCGGATTTGAATTTGAATCAATCAAAATCCGATCCAAACACAATCCGTTATATACCGAATTTTAGATCACTAACCCAGCCAAATCTCCTATGACTTATATTTGATTGCTATAAAAGTTAAGCTCATCTAAACAACACTTGATCAGAATTGGGAACTCTTCTCCGAGCCATGCCACGGCTGGAAATAAACTTTCTACTTAGTAATCTCTCGGGCCATCCTAAGGAATATTGTTCACATGTTTTATTTTGAATATCTTCAAAGCTAATTGCCACATTCCCAAGTTCATCTGTTAACTCGTAAATTAAGATGTGTGACTCTGATCCTAGGAATTGTAAGAGAAAGCAGCTAAACAAACTTGCATCAGAGATTTGAAGTACTGTTCCAATCTACATTTCAATATGAAATCCCTGGGAGAACTACTTTCAAAGTTTAGTACAAAAAAAGTAGAGAGAGATAGAGAGAGACTTCGCCAGATATCTTTGCAATAAACTTCTACTCCCCTAGTAGAAGTGCCTTTAAGATGGCCTCGCTCATACCATCAGTATATGGAAACAGATGTCCGGCGCCTGGCAATTCATGGTAGTGTATCCATGGAAGCTTTTCAACAATGTAGCGCTGCAGTGTAACAGGCACAAGCCCATCTTCATCGCCTTGCCACAAATGAACAGAGCCTTCACCATCACGGAAAGGATTCTTAAGATCCATAGGATTGAATTCCCAACTCCCAAATCCAACCATCAGGTCCCGATGAAATGACTCAAATTCTCCTTGTTGTGTCACGTATGCCTGGTTATCAAAAGAGGTGAAACTTTTGCAGTCTTTCATAGACGTTGGACACTTTTTAATGGACACGTTTAAAAGAACTATCATGCAAAGAATCTCCTTAACCGTGAAATTTCTCAACTTTAAACACAGGGAAGTCTATCACGTGACATGATCACCGTTTATGAAATCTAGAACTCATGAATTTTGATCATTTTCTATGCTATATTATGGATGAATTGATTTTCTTGTACAGTAAGTACTTGATTATGATCATACCTGTGTATACACCCACTCAAATGCATGATACTTAATGGAATTTCATACTCATTCTTCCTAACAGAAAAAAAAAAAAAAAATTACCTTGTCATATTGGCTCCCCCTAAGCTTGGGTATAAGTTTTAAATCTTGGCTAGAATACTTAGCCGTTTGGGCAATAAGGCTTGAGGCAGGAAACCATTTCTGGGTGTTCCACCAGTAGGTGAGCCAAGGGGTGTAGTGAGCGACTCGTAAAGTCCACTGGTCTTGTGGAAATTGCTCATAGTAGGCTTCTGCAAATATATTTGAAGGAAACCCAGGCCACCAGTAATTGACAGCAGGAACAATTAATGCTGCTCCTGCCAGCCTGTTAGCATCCAAACATTAAACTTAATAGTTCAAATTTGAAGAACTGAATACAAATATTAGGAGGAGAAGCAGTAAAAGACCTCAATTTTGTCGTAAGCAGTTACAAACAATAACATTCCACATTTTCAGACAACATGACAACAAAATACTAAACTTTATAGTTGAAACATCAAAGAACTGAATAGAAATATTAGGAGGAAATGCAGTAAAAAGACTTACATTATTCTTATCATAAGCGGTTAAAAAAAACACCTACAGTCCTCGTTTTCAAAGAACATGACAACAGATACTGCATTGTTACTTAACCCTCTTCATGTTAATCTGATGATAAAATGACTTAACTCACCTTTATGTTTTATGTTACTCAGAAAGACTACATTTCTCAATAAATCCTCCATGTTACAAGAAAGTTCCAAGATTATATGTGGTTCATGAATAGCTAAATCTGCAATATTGTCAAGTAGAAAATGAATTTCACTATTTCTTACCTGTGAGGGATGTACTTCTGACATCCCCAGATCAGCTGTCCTCCCATTGAAAATCCAATTACATAAAATTTGGATCCAAGATCTAACTGATCAGCAAGCTCTTCTATATCCAGGGCTATACTACTTAAGGTACGCTTTGGATCCGGGTCACTTTCCCCATAACCTGGTCTATCAAAAGACACGATATAGATCTCTAGTTCTTCAGCCATCCCCTGAGAAGGATAACATGGAAATCATTTGAAACAAAACTATCAAAATCCACCCAAGTAAAGAGAAAATTTGTCAACTTCATGAATAACCATAAAACTACCAAAGGAAAAAGTGCCAAGTCATGTCTGCTACAGCCAAAGCCATGAACAAAGATGATCTTGTATTTTGCTATTTCTCTGGGGACTCCATGCTCCTTATAGGCTAAGTGTCGTCCATCCCTCAACTTTATTCTTGGTGCTCTAATAGGTGGACCGACTGTTGAGCCACATATCCTGGGAGGCGGGGGACGGGCAGCTTGATATGCCCAGGCTAGAAACCCGATCAATAAGACCAACACAATTTCTTGAAACATACCTGAAAAGAATTTCAAATTCCTCATGCAGGATTACAAAAGTTTGAGAAGACAAAGAAACAGAAAGCTTAACACGGTAACACCAAGGCTTTAGAGATGCTGGCATAACACATTATTTGTGTCTTCTTTTCTTATTCTTTCGAAAGGATGTCATATAGACCAAAGTGAACAACTATAATGTGAGAAACATCATCAGTATACTTTTGAGAGAACGAAAATGAAAAGGGATAAAAATAACTAACTTATTATTGGCCTTGAATAAAAGGTATCACTTACAAAAGGGGAAAAACAGGATTTAACAGGTATAATAAAGACAAGGGAAGAACTAGGATCTCCGCTTAGGGAATGCGATTATAATCTTACAGTAGATATTAATATCATAATCATATTTCACAACCTGTAATTAAAAGAGACAAAGTTTTGCTAAAACAATGAAGCATGGCATGTTTTCCGAAGAAACTAATCATAAGCAAGTATAGCCAGTTTAGTGGGCAGCAAATCATCCCCAACATATGAATGTATAAGACCTCAGATGAAGGCCTTGCCTCCTTGAGCCAAGAGAAAGTTCTAATGCTTGCATGAGGCATCTAAATTGATGGGCTAGACCCAAGGGCCCAACCCATGTTGTGAGCCCGAATTTAAATTAAGAGCCCAACTTAAAGAGATTCAATGGGTCCAGCCCAAGGGAAGTCCACACCCAGTCAAGCTTATTACCAAAGAAGTAAGCAGGGTCATGCAAGAGCCACATTCATGTCACCTTGGAAGAAGTCAATCACCGCGTCATCCTTTGACCGAATCTTCTGGCGAGCTCTGTAACTGTCTCATCCGTTGAGAAGATGGCGTCAACTCCACCAAATTATTCTTTTAGTTACTGATAAACTACTTCAATCTATTAGGAGACAAATATAAATTATAAGCCCCACCAACACTTGGGGGGCATCACACACAATCAAGCACATTTGCTATCACTCTCCACTCTCTCTCATAGCTTGTATCTGCCTATATTCCTCGAAGTAATAGAATAACAAGCCATTCAAGCCTTCATAGTGGACGTAGGTCAAGTTGACCGAACCACTCTATATCATTATCTCACTTGAGTTACTCTCTCTCTACTTAATTACTGCATTAATTACTTATCACTTGACAGGTGGTGTGCAAAACTAATTTGTGTATCATCAGTTTGACGCCATCTGTGGGAATCGACAAATTCTCTCCTAATCACTTTTCTTGCTATACCTATGGCGATCACCACCATATCCATGAAGCAACTCAAAGATAATCCATCATGAGAGGAGGAGGTTGCCCCTCCACCAACCAATCCTATTCCGAAAGCACAACAGATGTTGGAAACAAAGCAACAGCTCGTGACTCAGAATCAGCAGATCCTGTAACTGATGCTCGTTGGACAACAAGGCAGAGCACAGCCTAGAGGACCTCAAGCCAGAGGAACTCCACGCTTTGGGCGACAAGGAGCTCCCCATTTGGGCGCTACATATAGGGGAGCCCCACACCAGAACCATGAGGGGCCTCCACCTCCTCCTCAAGCTCCCTCTTCTCATGGTGGAGACCCTTTCAAGAGGATGAGAGCGAAAAACAAAGCGTGGAACATGGGAGTCAATTCCAAAGGAGCCCCCAATCATTAAGACGAAAAAGTCAAAGAGGTACAAAATCAATTGGGCGACATCTTCAAAGCCATAAAGGCACAAGGACCCGATACTGTGGATTACCTCGTAAGGCAAACTAACATGCCTTTTGTGCCAGATGTGGCAAACTACCCTTTCCTCAAAAGTTCAAAATGTCATATGTCGAAATCTTTGACGGTATAAAAGACCCATTTGATCACCTCCAAACCTATAAGACCTTAATGCAACTGCACAAACGTCCCTGACGAAATCATGTGTAGGGTATTCCCAACTACCTTGAAGGCATTAGGCCGACAGTGATTGACCAAGCTCACCCCAGCCTCCATTGGCTCATTTGCCGAACTAAGCAGGTCATTTATGTCGCACTTCATTGGAGGACGCCACCACCAGAAGCCTATTACTCACTTGATTAGTATAAAGTAGAATCGAGATGAGAGCTTGAGGAGTTACCTTACTCGTTTTAATGAGCAGGTCCTCCAGAATGAGGAGCCCGATGACAAGGTCACCATGACTGCCTTCTTGGGAGGTCTTCGTTCATTAAAATTCCTTTTTTCAATGATGAAGCATCCACTAAAGAGTATGTTAGAGCTACTATATGAATGCTGAGGACTTCACTAGGGCCAGACGAGGTGAGTCCTCACGAGCAGGGGAGAAAAGAAAGGAAAGAGACAGAGAAGACAAGAAGGAGAGTGGAAATAAACGAGGTAGGACAGTAAGGGTGTTTGCTAAAGACCGACTTAGTCCTTCCCCTCAGAGAGATCGACAAATCTTCACTCTCGTCAATGCCACTGTCAGGCACATCCTATTCCAGATCCAGAATGACCCGTAATAAAGTGGCCTAGAAGAATGAAATCTCCACCAAACTGCAGAAATCTAAGCAAGTATGGTCGTTTCCATAGGGATCATGGCCATGACACCAACGATTACTTTGAGCTTAAAAGACATATTGAAGAGCTCATACAACGTGGTAAACTATGCCAGTATGTTGCTGGTAGAGGCCAAGCACTACCACCATCTCATAACTAGGAGGATCAACAACCTCTTGATGAGATTCACACCATCTTTGGAGGGCTAGCAGGAGGAGGAGGAGCTCAAAAAGCTAGACACCTTGACAATTTGCGCTCATCCTAGGAACCCAAGCAAGGAAGTAACAAAGTTATATCCTTCTCAGACAAGGACCTAGAAGAGATTTAGCACCCTTATGGCTACCCGCTGGTGCTAACCATTATTATTGCCAACTTCCAGGTACAAAGGATTCTTATAGACAATGGTAGCTCTGCGGACATCTTGTTCGCAGAAGCCTATAACAAGCTCAATCTAGGAAGAGAAAAACTACAGTCCATTAGGTCACCCCTCATCGGATTCTCAGGAGAATAAGGTGTATTCCCTATGGTCCATCACTTTTCCAGTCACTGTCGGCTTGCACCTCGGAGCTCCACAGTCATAGTGAACTTCTTGGTAATAGACTTCCCGTTAGCCTATAATGTCATCCTGGGGTGACCCATTCTTAACACCTTAAGAGCTGTGCCCTCCACTTATCATCTAATTCTCTGTTTTCCAACTCCAAATAGAATCAGAGAGATCCAAGGAGATTAGGTTGCTGCAAGAGAATGCTATGTCTCCTCCATGAAGACTAGAAAGCCACAAGAAGCACTACAAGTGGAGGTCCTCGACCCATGAGATGATGCCACATTGAAAAAAGGAGAATAGTAGAGGAGCTCAAACCAATGGTCCTAGATGAGGAGCATCTAGACAGAATAGTGTACATTGACTCTTCCCTTCCTGAAGATTTAGCTTGCCAGCTTATAGATTTTCTAAGATGCAACATGGATGTTTTTGCATAGTCTCATTAAGACCTCAAGGGCATCGACTCTAAGGTCACCACCCACTGCCTCAATGTCGACCCTAATTACAATTCTATTCGCTAAAAGCTAAAGAGCACTTCCATTGAAAGGGCACAAGCGATGGACAAGGAAGTGAAAAAGTTGATAGAAAACATGGCAGTCAGAGAAGTGGCCTACTCAGTGTGGCTATCAAATGTGGTGATGGTGACTAAAGCCAACAAAAATTGGCACCTCTACATTGACTTCATCGAACTTAACAAGGCGTGCCATAAAGACAGCTACCCGTTACAACGAATCGACCCCTCTTCGATGCCACTACTGGCCATGAATCGCTCACATTTCTGGACGCATACTTTGGATATAACCAGATCAACATGCATCCCCTAAACTAGGAGAACAATAGAGAACAAGATGTTTCAGTCTCAAATCAGGAGAACAATGGAGGTATACATGGATGATATACTGGTAAAAAGCCTTGCCACAACAGACCACATAGACTATCTTCAAGAAACCTTCGATGTTCTCAGGTTATATCACATGAAGCTGTACGCTGAGAAGTGCGCCTTTGGCGTCTGATCAAGAAAGTTCTTATATTTCATGGTCAACCAGAGGAAAATTGAGGCGAATCCCAACAAGATCAAAGGTATCTTGGACATGAAATCACCCACCTCAACCAAGGAGCTCCAGTGCCTTAATGGAAGGATTGTAGCACTCAACAGATTTGTTTCCAAGTTTGTAGACAAATGCTTACCCTTTTTCAAGATTCTCTGAAAAGCCTTTGAGTGGGGACTTGAGGAAGAAGAAGCTTTTCAAAGGCTCAAAGCTTATTTGGCTATGCCTCCCCTTTTTTCACATGTTATGGCAGGTGAAACTCTATATTTGTATCTCTCTGCTTCCCCATCGACAATAAGCTCTGTCCTCATCAGAGACAACCAAGGAGTGCAAAAACCTATTTATTAAGTAAGCAGGGCATACTGAGGAGTAGAAATAAGATATTTAGGATTAGAAAAGCTGGCGCTCACCCTGAACTCAACAGCAAGGTGTCTCTGACATTACTTCCAGAGTCACACCATTGTCGTTGTCACAGACCAGCCTCTAAAGAGGGTTCTAGGGAAGCCAAACGTCCTTGGAAGACTCCTTAAGTGGGCAGTAGAGCTGGA